TTATGAACATAAAACGAAGACTTTGGGAATTATTTGACATTTAAATGAACTTTGGATTTGTGCCTATTGCATTTTTAAATTCACTGTATTATCAGGTTTGAGAGTTCAGTTGCTTGAAGAGCCATTGTTTTATTTTTTTTATTTTATTTTTTTCAATTTTTCTTAAAATTGAAATAATTGTATTTGTCTATTTTATATTCCTTGAATACATCCTTTAATTATTTATTACATAACATGCATAACTCTTTAATATTTATAAACCAATTTTACATTAATTTATAATTGCTTATAATGATTGTCGGTTTTTCTAAATTACAAAAAAATTAACGAATAGAATATCAAAAAGGATCTTAACTCTAAATTTACTCAACTTTACTGAGGCATGTCAGGACCCAATAATAGCCAATATTCTGCAAATCACTGCATAATTTAGGATACAGCTTGAAGACTAATGGGGCCTGAATTGAACAAAGTTTGAAGCACAAAGTTGCTGCATTATGAGTATTGCCATATACATGTCATACCGTGATAAACAATTTGCCGTGTTGTTATTTAGACACCCTTTGGACCTCAGGTTAAAAACAGACTAGACCATTTTGAACAAAGCCTTGTCTGGGTAAGACGACCTATGCTCGTCAATTAATGGATTATTGGCCCTGTGAGTATAATCTTGAATAAAAATTCCTGTCAATCTCTTCATGTTACATGTTAGATTTTAGATCTCAAATTAGGAAATTCTCTGTAGTTTAAAGCAAGATTTTGAATTTGGATTTTTTTAAGGTAATATTTTCTTTTGTTTTGTTTATTACTCTTAGTAAAACAGTATATTCTTTCATATATTTATTAAAACAAATACTTATAAAAATAAAATTTAAAATTCGTTGATTTTTATAAATTCAACAGTTTTATTTCTTTAAAGTATAACCTGGTCATAAATACAATTTTTTTATTGTTTATGTCACTCCAAAGAATGCGAATTACAACTTTTCTTAAAATATTCTCCTTGCAACTTCTAGCAGGCAAAATGAAATGAAAAGAAATCATGGAATAGATAATAAAATAAAGGATAAGTCAATGTATACTATGATATACTTAAACAAAAGATTTAAGTAAGAATTGCTACTAAATAATTTGTCATAGGCAAAGAATTTTTGCAACAAATTATTAATAATATTTGATGAATATTAATTTGAATTAATAATCTGTTTGACTTTGAAATATTCTTTACTCATATTTTTTTAAATAAATTATGAAATTATTACGTATAGAAAATTGTAATCTGATGGTTTCCAACTTTCCTGGTCTACCTACCTTTGATACAGTAATTGATATTGATGATTTCAGCCTTATTTTTCTTAACCAAGACAAATCAGTTTAAATAGCAAGTAAATGTAAATTAATTTTTATAACTGTTTGAACATAAGATTTTTAAGTGATCATAATCAATCCATTCACTTAGAAAAGAACTGTCTTGTGCTAAACACTTTACAGCCTGAAAGTTCTTTTCGTGTGGTAATTGTGGTGATAAAGCAGATGCCACAAATGGTAAACATAATTAAGGTCATTACTGTTGCTGTTGATTGTTGTTAATGTCATACAAAACTTTTTGTTTTGTAATTGGCGTAATAATACAAGAGGGGGATTAAAGTGGGGATCGATTGTTTTTGCTGATTTGCCGAAGAAGTGTTTGTCCTTTTAGCGCATTTGCATTTCTAGCGCTGAAAGAATCCATTGGATCAAATCCCGTCTCTTCTGATTTGACAGAGGTAATTAGGCAATTTTGATTTACATGTCACCCTTTATAAGTGGGTGTTTATTTTGTTTTAAAATGTATGGCTATTTTCAATGCCTTTAATTATATCAAGTTTTTTGCTAAATGTCAATACAAAGGTCAACACGAAAGTTATTCAAGGTAATTTCCTTTGGTTGTTCATAATTACGAAAAAAAATTTCAAATGTAAATTTTATTTAAAGACCATTTTTTTCAAGTTCCATTTCCTTCCTTATCACACACCCAAATGAAGAAATTAATTATTTAAAAATATATATATTTTTAAGTCAATCAAAAATCAAAGCTAGTGCATACAATAGTACAAGGGTGTTCAAACAACAGAACAAGGGTGAATAGATTTTAGATTATCCATTTTCAGTTTTAATCTAAGTTCTTTTTTCTTTTTTTCAATGGTTCGAAATAGCAGCATATTATCACTTTTATTCAAAATGGTTTTTTGGCATTATAAAACCCCAAAGATTATGATACGTCCTCGTCTGTTGTGAACCCTCATAAAAGAAAAAGCTTGTATAAAGACTGAATTTGCATAAATTAAAATCTCTTCACCATTGATTCTAGGTTTGGAAGTGTCATGTCATTTGATTTTTAATTGTCTCTTTTAATTTAATTATTTAATTTCTTCATTATTCATTATTTATGTCCTTTACCTTAAGAGCATCATGTCAACGCTTAAACTGTTGCTGCCACTGACACCCCTTCAACGTTCTTGTCCCAAGGTCAATATGGCCCACTTCTTTACTAAGCTACCTTTTTCAAGGGTATTTAAACAAATTTTTTCTCTAAATTTTCTATTTGTTGTTGAAAGAATTATATTCCCTATTCCCACACACAAAAATTAACACATACTCAATAAGCAGCTTGAATCACCTCAGATCATCTTGGTCCTTCTGGTCTCCTAGTGTCCACTTTGATGTGTAATGATTGTCCAAAGAATTGCTGTTTTGTTCTTTGCTTTGCTAATCATAATTATAAATCATGAAATTTTTGTAAGATATTTATTTTTTCAATTTTCTACTGAGATTAGTACTATTTTGTTTTTAAAAACTTGTACAGTGATGTACTTTTATGTTTAACTATAAAATGTTTGTCCATAAATGTCATAGATAGAATGTTACAGCAAGTTAATATTTTTTATTAGACGGAAATAGTAAAATATTTTATAAACCTGGAATTTTGCGAGGACACTCTAATTTAGAGTACAATAGATCTATTTGCCTTGCAATTAAATAATTATCTTAAGTGCATTAATGACTATGTAATGAATGTAAACTGTGGTAAACAGTGAATAATTACAGGTCTGATAAAGACCACCTGAACCATATAATTCTTTGCTAAAATTTTTTTTTAAATTATCCAATTTTTTACAAAAATTTGTACAAAAATTCTGGAATTATTTTTCTTATCATTTCAGACATATTGTGAACAACATTTCAATATTTCATACCGAATATTGTCAATTAAAAGAGGCACTAATTCGAATGTAATTAAGAATGCTTAGTTGTCCTTTTTAGATAAAATTGCATGATAATTACAGTCAAAACCTCAATAACACATCATCAATAGTATGTAAAAGGAACTCTTATATAAATGATTCACAGTACGAATAAAATTGCAAATCTTTTAGAAATCCATAAAAGTTAAACATTACATGATTATAATATAATTATTTCATTATTAGAATAAATGAAAATTTTTACTTGATGTGGAACAAGTAATAACTCCAAATTAATATTTATTTGTAACTTTTTTATATTTAAATGTGCATTTTTTAAATATATATTACACAAATTACAACAGTAGAAGTCATATTAAACCCCCAGGGGGCCTGAATTTGAACCCAGTGCCTTTACCTTACAGTGATGAGAGGTAGGTCAACACCTGGACAGCTGCGGCCACCATCGTCCTTATAATTTTATTCTTGCTTACATTTTGGTTTATTTAAATTTGGATCATTTGTTCGTTGTTCAACTTTATTTCTTCATTCCTTACTTCTTTTCATCTACCGATAGAGAAATGCATTGTTCATTAACACTCTCAACACGACACGCAAGAATGGCACAATTACACAGAAGGCAAAGATGATCTCAATAAAGATCAAAACGTTGGCACGATAAAAAAAAATGTTTTTCTGAAACATACATCACACCAGACCGCATCTCACGATTTCTGAATAATTATTGTTCATTAATTTTATGAAACCAGATACAATTCCTCTATTAAAATAATATAAAAAAATTGTAAAATATCTGATAAAGTTTGAGGATCCCCACCTTAATTCATTAATATTTTTGATACTGATTTTTTTTTTTATTGCGGAAACTTTATTAACCAGTAAATCGATATGATAGAAAGTATATACATATGTGTACAGCCAAATAAAATACTTGTTTCACCATACAGCATGGTAATAAAATGCCCGGAAGATACTGATATATTTTTCATTAAGACAGAACATTAAAAACCTTTAAACTGCCTTCAACCCAGAAAGAAGCTGTCATAATAATGTTCTAATTTTTTATTATGTAACATGTTCGAATGTTGCAAATTGTATTCTCAACATATTTCAAGAATGCAGTCATAAGTTTTACAAAGCACTTTATCAAATAAAACAGAATGTTTTTCTTTTATCAATTACAACTCTGGCAAAATGTTCAATTCATTGACTTCTAGTAGTAATAATAACAGTAATCACCGAATCACAGTATTCATTCAACAAACTTGCCAGTCTAATTGCAGTTTGAGTTGTAAGATGATAAATGAAATTATTGAATAACTTTTAGGATAAACAAGTTTTGCAGCTTGAACTTAAGAAAGATTTCTTTCTTTGAGGATTTTTTTAAAAGCAAAACTGTCTATTGTGTAATAAGCAAGTCGTATCCTCAGAAGGTCCAATCACCAAGAACGATATAACAAACTTTCTGCAGAGTGAGCAATTTTATTTTGAATTATCGAAATATTGTGCCATAGACATACAAATTTGATATAGGAATAAAAGAGCACAAAACATTTTTCAGTTTTCTTGTGCAACTTCAAGGCTTGCCCAAAGGAAACAAACATTTATGATGAGTCATGTAAACAGTTATTTCTCAATAGACAATTATTTAGACAACTTACCCTCTTTTTTACGTATAAAACTGGTGTTAATTTACAATTGGATTAGATAATTTTTATATAATAAAAACCCTATTTATAAATAATTATATTTTAGACATGAAGTTGGACTGTAGAAGATGATGGTAGAAAATGCGATTTCAGTCCGAGGGGCGTACAAAAGGTACAGCCCCAAGGCTGTTGTACTTCAGGGGCTGAACATGTCAGTCCAGCAAGGAAGTGTGTAAGTATTTAAGTAACATTATTTTATTGGTAATTTTAATGTGTATTCACATGACACTATTTTGTTTTAGGTACGGTTTTTTAGGACCGAGCGGTTGTGGAAAGACAACACTTCTCAGTTGTATTGTTGGCAGGAGTAGGCTAGACGATGGAATTATAGAGATTAATGTAAAAAGCAGATCAAATATAGGATATATGCCTCAAGTAATGGTCTATTGTAATAAATGTTACAAGAATGTATAATCAAATTTTAATCGATCCAGGAACTGGCATTGCATAAAGAACTTAGCATAGCAGAAACAATATCCTATCAGGCATGTGTACATGGAATTACCTGGAATGATTTAAAGAAAAGGAAAGAAGAACTGTATACATTTTTAAACTTGCCTAAGGAAGAATCAATCGTAGGAAGGCTCAGGTATGTTTAAACGACATAGTTAATTTTCTCTTAAATGATTTTCTGTATTATTTCTTTTTCACCATCTATAAATATTTGTTTCAGTGGAGGACAACAAAGGCGTGTTTCTCTTTGTGTAGCACTTTTACATAATCCTCCAATACTAATTTTAGATGAGCCAACGTGTGGTGTTGACCCTCTTTTAAGCCAAGCGTAATTTTTTTTCTTCAAAATCTTAATTCAACTATTGAAATAATTAATGAAATAAAATCTTTAAATTTCAGTATATGGCAGTATTTGTTGCATATGTCTTCTGTCTATAAGAAAACTATTATAATAACAACTCATTATATTGAAGAAGCTAAACAGGCCCACCGAGTATGTTTTAAGTTTGTAAATTTGTAAAATTTAAAATTCTTTATTGTCAATATGCTTAAATCTTTAACTTTTGCAGATAGGTTTAATGAGAGGAGGTATAATCTTAGATGAACATGAGCCAAATCAACTTATGTTGAAACACAACTGTGATACTTTAGAGCAAACATTTTTATTGCTTAGTACAAAACAAGAAGATGAAAATATGGTACCTATTATATCAGATTAAACAATTGATCAAACATGATTTTTAAAATATTTTCTCCTTCTGTCATTAGAGAAAACCAAAACAATATCCTAAACCACATAAAAAACCACCCCTGCCCATAAAGAGTAGAAACACTGTATCATTTCAGCACGTCAATTCTCACATAATTAAAAGTATATATTGGCTTAGGAGAAATACAATGTAAGTTCTATTTATTTATTAAATGTACAAGTTGGATATGAAGTATACATTAAAGAAATATATTTTTTAGGATTTTGGCATTTCTGCTTCTGCTTCCTATTGTTCAGTGTGTACTATTTGATTATACAGTAGGGAGGGATCCTATTGGTATAAAAATGGGTGTAGTGAATGATGAATTCTCAGGATCCATTTCAGATTGTTTTTTACAAAATGATAATGCTTGTACTCCTGGACTGCCCTTGTCTTGTTCATATTTAAAAGTTTTAAAATTAAAAAACTTGGAATTGGTTGGTTACATGGCATGATAAAATCTCAACATGGAAACAAACAAGTTGTACAACAATTTTTTTTCAATTTTTTGTAGGTTAGTTATCCAAATAATGAAACCGCAAGGGAAGGTGTGAAAACGAATAACGTTTGGGGCTTTTTACACTTTTCAAAAAATTATTCCGAAGCTCTTAGGGAACGAATTGCTTATAATTTGGGAACGAATGATGAGAGTGCGGAAAACAGTGAAGTCAATATCTGGATGGATATGTCAAGTAAATATTTTATTTATGTTCTTTGCAAAATCACAGGATATTTTTATTCTGTTTAGAAAAATTGAAAAATCTCAGATCTTCAGTTTTGGTTTTATTCGTCAACATTAATAAATACTTCTTGTAGATCAATACATTGGGAATTTAGTCAGAAGGGATTTATATTTTGGATTTTTGGAATTCATGGAAAAAATATTCATTGACTGTGATTGGCCAGAAGAAGCTGCAAGAGTGCCAATCCATGTAATTACAAATATTTTAAATATCAATGTTCAAAATTTAATTCTTCATCTTTATAGTATGAACCAGCAGTCTATGGTGACCTGAAACCGAGCTTTGCGGATTTTGCAATTCCTGCAATACTACAATTGTATGTCAACTTCTAAATAACTAAATCAAAATCAATCAAAATCACTTAATTTAAAATTTTATTTCAGATTTGAATTCTACTTACCGATGATGTTTACAGTTGGAGCAATTTTAATGGAGAAAAGAGAAGGAATACTAGAAAGAAGTTTAATATCAGGTATGTGTGGTGATTAATGACCATTAATTGATAATTATTCAGAAATCATGAGATGCGGTCTGGTGTGATGTAGGTTTCAGAAAATACCTACAATAAAGAAAATGTTTTTCTGACACCTACATCACACCAGAACGTATCTCACGATTTCTGAATAAATATCAGGTATTTTTAACCAGCTCCAAACTTGTAAGATTGTATTTCTAATAAAAATATGTTTTAGGGATGTCTCTTCCAGAAATAATGATCGGTCATGCAATAGTGCAGTTTGCCGTTCTCGCAATACAGACTCTATTCATGATGATTGTCTTATTTGTTATATTTGACAATACAATTAAAGGAAGTCTTTCTTTAGCCCTTGCTCTTCTCTTCCTTGTTGGGTTAAGTGGAATGTGTTATGGTAAATTTTTATAAGTGATAGTATAAGTTTCATTTAGCTCCTAATTTATACCTGTATAAAAAATGTTTAAAAGGATTTTTGGTGTCTGCAATTTGTGATTCTGATCAAATGGCCACGTACATGGGACTGGGAAGTTTTTTCCCACTTTCTATGTTGAGCGGTAAGACTTCACAGTTAAAAATAAGAGCATACGTAAAGACAACTATATTTTACATATTTTCCAGGTATGATTTGGCCTTATGAGGGAATGCATTATTTCCTGAGATCAGTAGGATTATTCCTGCCATTGACACTTACAACAGATGCGTTTCGAGCAATATCGACCAGAGCGTGGACAATTTCTCATCCAGTAGTTTATGCCGGTTTTATTTCTTCTCTTGGTTGGATAGTGTTTTTTTGTATAGCCACATATGTTGTTGTTTTGTTTAAAGGTGGCATTAGATCAAAATAATAAAACAATGAGTTTAAATTGTATGATTTATATCACAGCATGACATTTGAATTTATATTTTGTAAAAAAAATACTGATGAGTACCTTTAAATAAAATAATTTTTTTTAAATATCGATAAACAACTTAGTTAATTCACATGTTTATTACCTTTTTTTAATATTCTAACAGTAGGCTATTTTATTGAGGGATAATCTTGTTGTATTAAAATTTATACAAACTACAGTAATGAGTAAAGTGAAATGCATTGAATACTGTTGATCATAATGAATAATGTGAATAAAAAAGTAATCTATGAAATGTAAATAGTGTAAATAGACATACTTTCTAAAGAAAGACTGTATATAATTATTTATATAAGCATAAATTAATATTATATGGTTAATTTTATTGTATTAATACTTTTAAAACACTTATGTACCAAACAAGTAACTTTAAAAAAAACAAGCAACAGTAATAAGTGAAGTTCATCCACAGTCTGTCTAGTCCGTTTTATAAATGTAAACTATTAGTAAGAAACCAATAGTTTTAATCAAATCAGGTACAATGGAATAACTTATAAGTATTAATAATACTCTATTTTATATTTATTTATAATTTTGCTCAAATTTGAAAAGGCACATGTGCCTTATTCTATAATGTAGTAAGTAAGGATTAATTTGTAGTATTTACACTTGATTAGTATTGTTTAGTATTTTGACAAAAATGTGACATGATTTTTTTTGTTGTAAATCTGTTCTCTTTAAAATCAAATAAATCATTTTAAGAAATGTATCTAGTTTATTACTTTGCAAACCATGACAGCATATATTTATATGTACATCTCAGTCAAGTTGCAGTTGCACAATTCTGCACCCACATAATGCAAAAAACTGGAAAATGGTAGTTTCTAGTAAAATTTTATGGGGTTTGAGAATTTTTGTTTTTATTATTATCGATGAGCCTGAAAAAGTTCAACAAAATTTTCTAGCTGCTTCAAATTCACATGGTTCATGTGTATTCACTAGCCTAGAAAAACAACTTGCTGTGTGCCTCTGAACTTGGTTTTATTCAGAGTTCCAAGATAACTTGGTCAAATTACCTGCATTTTGTGCTCTTGAGTGGAGCCAATATGAACACTTCCGGTCCTGACCCTAACTAAATGAGTCCAAATCCTGGTGAATCACGATGCCAGAGATGACATACATCAAAAGATTCTTTAAAGGGCCACACAGAAGAATTACTGGAGGGTAACTAATAAAACTTGCATTCTGGTCTGCCAATGAAGGTATACAAACCAGATATGATTATTAGCAGAAGAAACATTGTGGAGATTTTGAAAGTTAAACTATATTTTCCATTTCAAACAGCAAAAAAATTTTGTGATCAAATAGATTTGATGGGTTTATAATTTCATTTTTTTTTTTTTTGCCATGATGAGGTCAGTAGCAATAAAGTATGGTGTAGTTAATCATCTTGCTTAGACACTGACTCTTCATAGTCCAGTATTTACCAGGAAAATACAAGTCCTATGCTTCTATAATAAAAGGCTGCAGTTGAAAAACAAGGTTAAATGCCAAGGGATAATCTTTGATAAAAAATTAACTGGGAACCCTCACCTAAGCAATCTAAAAAAGCAAAATATTACTAAGGCCACAAGAAGGTCTAGGGAAATCTTGGGAACAAAAACTGAAATGCCTGTTGGTTATATACAGCAGTAATAAGACCGAAATTATCTATGGCTCAATGTGGTGAATCAAAATTCAGCAAAAACATGGCCCAAATATTAGGCAACACAGAAAGACCTGGGGTCACCTTTCTTCCAAAGGTCTCTATTATCTACGTCCACTTGGAAGGGTCTGTCAAGGTTGAGCTTTTCTCTCATTTTTTCAGATCCCATTATGGTCAACTTGTTTATCCTTATCTTTCCAGAATTTTGCAGTGGCTCTTCCTTAGATCTGTCTTTATTTCCTTGTATCTCAGGAGTCTGTTGACATTCTCAAAAACAACCTTTCATATATAAATATGAAGGTCGAGTGACGTTTCCATTCCTGTAGTGGTGCAGGTATGCATTGCACCCTGTTTGGTCTGTGTCTTTGTTCAATGTTTTAGCCACCATGCTAGAGCACCATATGTGACCATGGCTCTGACCATATGCCATTTTGGGATTTATTCCCCAGTTTTTACTGCATTACCTTTGGCCAATGCTTAATAGTGCCTATGTGTTTAGCCTTAGCTTTATGCAGGATGTTGCCTATGTGTTTTCCCATTTGAGCCTTTGGTCAAGGGTACTTTGTTTCTTTGGATTGTTTCCTTTTTTTGTGAAAAGTATGAAATATGTTTTCTTAGGGTTTTCTGTTTTTCTCACACCATCTTCCTACAATATTTAGAGCGTTTTTCATCTGATATGGCAGTGACTTCAAATTTCCCTTTTTTAATTGTTCCACTGTTGCATTGTGCTTTGTCTTATATTATAGTTATGTTGTTTACTTCTTTATTTAATAAAGTACTTTTTTCTTTCATTCATTAATGTCCAATTTACAAAAAATAGTTGCTCTTATACCTGTATTTAACCAATTAGACCATTGTATAATTGCATGTGCATATAGTACAATAAAAATATTTACTTATATTAGAAAAAAAATTGCAACAATAAATATTTAATGAAAATAAAAATTCAAGTAATATATGTAAAAAATTAGAACTTCAGGTAAACAAATAAACAAATTGTTTTAAAAAAATCCTTCTCATTGACTGGAAGTCCCATTGATATAGGTAGAAGTAAAGGACGAAAAGTAAGACTCCGTGGCGCAACGGTAGCGCGTCTGACTCCAGATCAGAAGGTTGCGTGTTCAAATCACGTCGGGGTCATTTATTTTTTACCACTTTCGCAGGCCGATTTTTTTTATGTTCAAATTTGCAAAAACGTCTGCTATACAGACCAAAGTTTAATGAATACAATTCCTTCTGTCTTCGAGTTGATTCCAATCAATTTCATTTCCCTCATACAAAATTTATCATATTAAAAATATCAATTCAAATGTGCTGCATGAAAATAAAAATCCCATTATCATAATGTAAAACTATGATGATTTTCGGTTAGTTTGGTAAGCAACTGTTTTTGTTGTTCTCTTTAGTAAACCATAGTTCTTTTCAGTTTTTACTTTGTTGAAAAAATTATAGTGCTTAAACAAATATACATTTAATTTCAATTAATTATTCTTTTCAATTTAAAGTCTTGGTTAAGGTGAAAAAGTTAGTGTCATGAGCGGGATTCCAACCCACGACCTTAGATAAAAAGAATAATTAATTGATATAATTGGTATGGTCAATTATGACTGCTAAACATATGTGGATATATATTTAATTTTTTGATGGTGTACATCATGATTGTGTGATACTCCATAGTAAGATGATGGATAGGAGAAGAAAGACAATTTATTTCCTACTCATCATCTTAAATATATATTTGTTATATTTTTCCCATTTTATGGTCATTAGGTCAATGCCATTTTAGTCCTATAAAAGTGTATTTCCTTTTAAACTAATCCCACAGATATGCGATTACCTGTTCTTGAATGGATAAATTAAAAATACTTCTACTTCTGTTTCCAGATAGCCATGAATCAAGACAAACGGGGTTGATACCATTGCTTACATGCTTAATTGGTCTTCCCATAATTTTTTTTACCAAACAATCAGAAAATCATCATAGTTTTGACATTATGATAATGGAATTTTTATTTTCATGGTGCAAATTTGAGGATTCATATTTTTATTATGACAAATTTTGTATGAGGGAAATGAAGTTGATTGGAATCAACTTTACCTGATATTTGAAGACAGAAGGAACTGTATACATTAAACTTTGGTCTGTATAGCAGATGTTTTTGCAAAGTTGACCATCTCCGTAAGGTAAAGATCTAGGTTTCAAATCCAGTGGCCCTCTATTTGAACCTGACAATTACAAATGGGCTTTTTTTTTGTTTTTCTTTTTTGTTCATAAAGACCGGCACCCAGAGGATTCATATAACTCGTAGTTGAAATAACCTTGTAAAAAAGTTGTATGATCCAACTAGATTCTATAATAGTAATAAACAGTTTTGTACTCATATCCATCCAATGTTCCCTTTTATGAATAATTTAGAAAAAAGTATCATCTGGAAATTCATCAAATAAAACAATTTTTTTGTATGAGTTTGTTTTAAACAAAGAAATAATGGTTATTGAAACTAATACTTAACTAATAATGAACTACTAATACTAACTTAATAATAAAACATACCGGACTCTGCATGAATTTCACAAAAATGTATATATTTTTTAATGTTCAGTATTCAATAATTACACATGTAGAAAACATCATTTATGCAATTGCTCTAGTTTTTGTTTAAACTTTAACATTATTCTACATGAAAACTGCACTTTATTTATTTTTTGATGGATTCAGAAAGCAAAAAGTCAAATTTATCTGCCTCTTTTTCTTAATAATTTATTTATTTAGATCTCATAGAATCTGTTTTTGTATTAAAATTGTCAGCAGATAGTATTTGTGTAGTAGTAGTAGTGATTTTTTATAAGTTTATTTTTAAAGTAAAGGAAATTTAAATGACTGTGACATATACAGCTCAAGTAGCATCATGCAAACGCTTTGGCTGTTTTTGGAAATTGCTCTTTAGGCCAGTATAATTTACAACTGTGACTTTATTTTTCCGATTAACATTTTAATTGTGTGATGTATGAATAGGTGGAAAGGAAGCATTTATAAGCTATTATGGCCAAACCTCACCGTTTACATCATGATGTATTCAACTTTGAGTATATGTTACAGATTTTTATTGGATGAACATCAAAAAACGTAATTTAGTAGACTTTCTTCTCTTCAAAAAAGGAAAATATCATTTTTGTTTTAAATAATTATGTTTTCACACTTCAGAATATTTGAGAAATTATCCGTCCACTGCCAAACATATGGAGACTTAATACCAGTGTCATTCGTACTAGGATTTTACATTTCTATTGTCGTTAAGAGATGGTGGGATCAGTATTTGAGCATCCCTTGGCCGGATCCATTAGCTGTATTAGTCAGTGCTTTTGTATGGGGTCAGGTAATGTTTAAAAAAAATTAATAAAACATTTTTATTGTGTTGAATGGTTTTCTAGGACGAAAGATCCAGGTTGATGAGAAGGACCGTCATAAGATACGCCAACCTTTCTTTAGTCATAACCCTCCGAATGATGTGCCCTACAGTGAAAAAACGCTTTCCAACTCTCGACCATATGGTAGAAGCAGGTTTTATGCTGCCAAATGAGAAAAAAATGTTTGACAAACTCGAAGAAAGAACTTTGCATCCAAAATATTGGCTGCCACTTGTCTGGTCTATTCATATCTTAAACACAGCCAGGAGAGAAGACAGAATCAGGGATGATTTTGGCCTTAACACATTGATAAACGGTGTCAACACGTTTCGAGCAGGATGTGGTAGTTTACTCAATTACGACTGGATTAGCATACCATTGGTCTATTCGCAAGTAAAATTGTTACATTGCTTAAATTGAATACAAATAAAATACATGAATATTTGTATTTAAAGGTTGTGACATTGGCAGTATATACATATTTTTTAGCAACTCTGATGGGTAATCAATATTTAAATCCTACAAAAGGGTATTCGAATCACACAATAGACCTTGTTGTACCCATATTCACACTTCTCCAAGTATGTTAACAAAGTAAACACTAATATAAGTACTATTAAAATAAATAAAATCAATCATAGCATTTATATAATTTTTTCTTGCAGTTTTTCTTTTATATGGGTTGGCTATTGGTAGCTGAAACATTAGTTAACCCTTTTGGTGAGGATGATGATGATTTTGAAGTAAATTGGCTGATTGACAGGAATTTACAAGTAATATTGTTATTAAGGGGACATTGAACGGCCAGTTAATAAACTGTTTTCTTAGGTCTCGTATCTAATTGTTGATGAAGTACATGAAGAATATCCGGAACTTGTCAAGGATCAATATTGGGAGGAAGTCATACCAACAGAACTGCCTTATACAGAAGCGGCCAAACAATATTATACTGAACCGTTCTTGGGCTCTACTCAAAATGTTGATGTACCTTTGGACCAACGAGGCTTTATTTTAATGTCCATGCTCAATGAACCTGATGTCCCATTAAAGACAGTTTCTATAATTGTAGGTTTAAATTACTTTAAACTTTCATTTGTGTCTTTCAAAAATAATATAACTTAAAGGAACGAAAGGAGACAACTCCAGTGCAGATACTTCCAGTATTGTTACCAAATATCGATTTGAATTCTAACACTTCATCACCAGAAGATAAAAGAAAATCATCAAATTCTATCCTCGACCTTCTAAAGAAAAATATTTATGGTGACAACAGTAAAAGATCCATAAGTGAGTTTTATTTTTATATTAATTCCAAAAAATTGCACTTTTAAAATGAACATAAAATAAGAAGATAGTCATTTTAATTCTCAGTCCATTATTTGAATTGATGTATTGAATTTATTAAAACCTGTACAATATTTAATAATCAACCACAAGGGATATTTTGTGCATAGAATTGTAATCAAATGCAATAAAAATGTGAAATTTGTATATTCTTAACTGCTTTCTGTTCAAAAATATAATAACATATATAAGTATAAACAAGATACTTTAGTTTAGTAAAGGATTTCTGTTTTGCACCCAAACCTGAATCCTGAGATTAATAAGTTCCCAGAGGTTTGTTTGATCATACCTGACTACAATAATATAATCTATCAATTAAGCACCTCCTTATAACAAATGAAATATTCAACGCAAAACCACAATTAAATACATCTAAAAAATAATAAAAACAAATGAAAATTCTTTACACCATTTTAAAAACACCAAAGAAGAATTTAAAATCTTTTATATCACAACCTATTTAAATTTTATTCCTTCTAGTTTAATTTATTCTTTGTAAAGAACAAAGATTAAAATTAAAAAATCTTTTATATTTTATATTACGACCCATTTTAAAATTCGAATTCAATTTTCTCATGGATCAAGAGCAATGTTGATAGGTGGCCCTTGGAGGATCAGACTTGTAGAAGAATGGTAATCCTCACCTGATTAAGGATAGGCCATGCGAGATTGACCCAAGCCCGTGTATATGTCTGGTGCAATTCCTTGGCTCTATGTAGAGAATATAAGCTTGCCACTCAATATTGGAATCATGCTTGAGCATGGCAGCAAGTATCTGGGTTCCCTTTTCTGATTTTTGGATGAAACAGAGTTGTCTTATTTTATATATAGCAATGATAGGTTTGTGTCACTAGCGTGTGTGGAGAGGATACGTGTAGAGGAGATGGAGGTATAAAGTACTTCACCACGAATGAATGGTATGCAAATGAAAAGAAAAAGTATTTAAGAATAAGTGAGAGTGTTAATTTTGGATCAAGGAACTGGGTGTGTTGGGTGAATTGACCTAGCTGTTTGACAGTCACGTATTTTTTTTATCAAGACAAAAGAATAAAATTAAAGAATCATTTTATATTTTAGTTTACAGCCTATTAACAAAATTAACAATTTTTCAAATGAAATCAAAATTATTTTATCAAGAAAAGTAAATTAAAGAACCTTTTTTTTTTGTTGTTGGTTTCAAAATATAACTAATCTAAACGTTTAAAAAAAAAATCTAAACAGTTATATGCTTGAATTTAGGTTCTGATACAGTTACTGTGAGACAAAAGTCTATAGCTATTTCTCACAAGAGTGGATCTCTCGGTTACAGCGTAGCATCCACGTTTAGGCGCAACTTCAATGATTTTCCAGTAAATTTTTTTACTTTAATAGTGTATACACAAATTGATAATTTTGCTTATTTTTCAGGAAGACATATTTTGGATGTCAGATTTCTCTCTTGCTGAGCCGCGGTCAAAATTGTTAAAAGCCCCTCCGACCGGTACAGATTTGGATTCAGGACAGTTGATAAACAATGTCTTCCCGTTGGATAAATTTCCTTGTACAGTGGTAACAATTAAACAGGAATTTTCAAAATTTAGATATTGAAGCCAACAATAAAATGATATTTTAACTATTGTAGGAAAATTTACAATCACAATCAGTTAAGACACAAAGCGTCAAACCGTATGAAAAAATGAAACAAATAGCTAAAAGCTGGCATGGTCAAGGCTTGTCTAATGGGCAAGGTTCGAATCGTTTTCTTATATGAAATTATCTGTTTGCTGTATGTCGCAAATCTTTTGAATGTTTTTTTTTTTTTAAGGACAAGGAGAACAATTTATTCGTGGAATGAAAATGCAATTAACTAATAATCTGGGACTAGCTAGTAGCCTCTGGTAAGACCAATATTTTTTAAAACAAATGCATGGGTCTAGAAGGCTCTGCTGAGGCTAGGTCTAGAAGGGCAAAGGTCATACAGATTGTGCATAAGTCGTACCAAGATCACACTAGAAAACATTCTAATTGGAGTGAGATCACAGTGGAGTCCAGTGGCCTATTCAAAAATATGACTCTTGCTGGGGGGGGGGGAGAAAAAATTAGAAACAGGAAAAGAATTAGCATGATTAAAGCACAGAGGGCCAGATGACCAATGTAGTTTGCTGGCTCTAAAGCTAGCAAAAAATAAGCATTTTTGCAATAGTATGCTTAAATTAAAAAATATATACATATATTTATAAATTTGTAATAAAGTCAATATAATTTATAAATAATCAGATTTATTTTTTAGCCATACTCTCAATAGTCAAAATAACTTGGCAGCTCGAAGTCAACTTAGCTTTCTTGATGTTGAACTACCGAGTCCTTCATTAGCGGTCATCAATCCATTAGACACAATTAACAAAGGTACCCCCTTAAATGATCAAACAAGCAAAGAATCTCTGAGAAAACTCGCCAATAAGGAAGAAGAGATAGTACCCTTGGATCAACAAATATTGCTCGAAGACCAAACCAATCCTTGTCGTAGCAATATTGTTCCTGAACCTGAACGGATCGATGAAACAGAGCTGGAATGTCCAAAAGTGCACTTTGAAAATGAATCCACAAAACAATCTCTTTCCAATGAAGTTGAACTTAGGAAATTGGACGCCTCAATAAAATACAGAAACATTTCTCCGAATCTGATCGACAAAAAAGCCTTCGACGTAGACGAGTCTCACTTAAATGTTTCAGATCCGATCAGTTTTGAAAAGCCAGCTCCTACCCCGGCCATCGTCATACCAGGGTCTATAATGCAGAATGATCACCTCAGTTTACCAGTATTAGAGCATGAACCTTCTCAAGCTCATACTTTCAACGAGAGCCCAATAATAAATCTTGTAATTAATGAAAACGCTGATGCTTACCCACCCTGTCCAGGTGAAGATACGACTGACCAAAATGCATAAACATTCCAGCTTAGACTAAATAACAAAATAGTCAATTTTATGTAAAAAAGTTATTTTATTATATGAGGCAGATGTTAGAATATTACATGTGTTTTTTTTTAAATTATTTTTATTAATATATTTTGAATTTTGAACCATATTTTTACTCATAATACATCATTGGGGCAAATTGTCTTTAGCCAGCTACCGTTAATCTCCCTCAACTGTTTGTTTCTACTTGTCACATATTTTCATCTTACTTTGATAATGTTAATTATTTTAAGGATAATAAACACAGTTAATAAAAAAAGAAGGATGAAATGAAATAATCTAATCATATATTTTACCAAGTACCTTAAAAAGATATCTTTGTATTATATGAAAAACAAAAATATTGAACTAATATTGCCCTATAGTTAAAAGAGAATAGGAAAAGGTTCCCTCCAGGGCCTGGAACACTTTTTTTCAAAATTATTTTACTTTAATTTTTCAAATTTAATTACATCTGCCCTCTCTTGTACCGAATTGCACTAACCCCTCCTCTCTAAGATGTACCCATGGCTTAGTACCAATTTTGTGACTGGCCATTTAATGGGTATATCCTATACTGATTACTGATTTATATAAGCCCCGCTACTCACACGCACTCACCCCTATATCTACCTCTCCTATGCCAGGAAACAATAACAGCCATTCAAAGGAATATAAGAGAATGCAGCCTCCATTTTCTTGTAATGATGGGAAGAATCATGGATGACCTGTCAAGGGAAAATTACAATTAAATCACCTCAGGTCTTCATATCAAGAATATAAAAATCAACCAAAGAATGATGCAAATACTTGGAAGAATAGTGGAATACCTACATCGACTTCAGATCACTGTTCATGTGGACAAACACTTCTACAGGCAGTGGATCACTTGCTGATGGAGGGTGACGGTGTCTAACCGGCCAAGTTTGCAATGCATGGATTACAATGGCCCTGGGCAAAAAGTGAGTTTTTTAAGGAGGATAAATCAAATCTTTACAGACTCATAAAAGAAATATTTGTTTTTCTAGAGCAGAGGCATTGACTGTCACTCAGTTAATCATGAAGTTTTAATATTTCTTATTAACATGAAACTTCTTCAGTTGTAAAGTGCGTGCTGCATGATGCTGCTCAGGATGATTTTTGATACTGTTCCGGAACATGAGCAGAGCAGCATACATTACCTCTTGCAGCCCACCTGTTATTCCAGCTTTTCTGTAACTTACAATAAACCGGCAGGCCTTGAGAATCACTCAACCCAGTGTTACCTTGGTTTTCTCCACCCAGCCACCGAGTTTTGCTCCAGGGGCTATTAATGGCTAGGCCATTTCAGTCCTCAGCACAACCAGTTACTTAAACCAATTCACTCTATTAAATACATTCTTTCCTATTTGCATATCATTCACTCAGGGAAGTATTTTTAAAACTAATCTAGTTGAGGGTCAATGGGGTTCTAAATATTCTGCCATTGGCCCTTACAAACTACATATTTAAGCTCTCAACACACACTAGGAATACAAAACTATCAGTACTACATTCAATAAAGCAACTTTATTTCTTTGAAAAATTGGAAAAGGGACCCAGATACTTGCTGCTGTGCTGAAGCACAACATTCTCATATCAGACATGCTCTTTATACAGAGCCAAGGAATGGAACTTTTTAATTAAATAGGACATAGTTTTTATCTACATGTCTACACGTAGCTTTGGTCCAAAACTAAGTGTGTATGTCAATCTCTCATGGCCTCTTGTTAATCGGCTGAGATCCTCTGTCGATACTTGCCCTCAGAGGATCTGACTGATAGAAGAGGGATCATCAACCCCTATAAAAATATTTAAAACAAAAATAATAATAGTTTAAGGATTATTAGGTAATAATTTTCACCCTACATAAAAGAAGTTATAATTGCAAAGTAAAATATACAATTGATCACAGTATAAAAATCAATAGAGATCTAGCATCATGAGGAAGGAGAGTCATTTGTTGGAAATTGTTCATCTAATATTCTAAATTCAAAAGCGTATTTGTTCCTTTCTGTAAACATTCCAATATTGTGACTTAATAAAGCCTGGAACATAAATTGAAAAATATTATTACAACATTCAACCCATCAGCAGCTTTTTCCAAAGGTCTTTGAAAATACGTATATGAATTACCTGTAAATAGACAATCCTTTTTACTTTAGAATAATTTTCTATCTGCTTAGCTAGCTCAGCAGCCTTGCTCAAAATCCTTATAGATTCTTGGATAACATCAAGTCGTACTGGAAATGGCGAATTGGCCACAGAGGAGACTTTGCATTTGGCAAAAATTACAAGGCAGTCTGACATATCACTGTAGCAACCATTTGAAAGGACTACGAGCAATGTTCTTTCAACTAATTTCAAAGCTTGACAACTCATTCCCATATCATGCTAAAACATTCAATAAAGATTATTTTGACATAAATAATTACCAATGAATCGTTTTATTCTTTAAAAGTAAAATTCTATATTGTTAAATATTAAAAAGCATACTACTAATAAGTTTGCTTTTTCTGTAAAAGCACTAGGCTGTAATTCCCATTATGGCATTAGGTGGTTGGAATAATTTTGTCTAATGATTAAGTAATTAAATTGTTCAATTATCCATGTTTTACCTGAATGTTAGATATCTCTAAAGCAATTAAACCTGTCCAATAATCTATCGAATGGTGGGAAGCAATGCTCAAAGCATCACAGAGTTTCATAATTGAACCCTTTGGGTTTGCTTTTGCTGCAAAAAGTAAGGCTCTAATTCTCATCACTGGGTTTTTTGTCATACTATGAACTTTATTCGCACACTCTAATGCTTCCTGACGGTTTCCTTTCACAAGTAATAGTTCACAGAGTCTGTAGAAATTGATGATTAAACTATAATCTGTATGTTAAAAAAGTTAAAAGAATTTTAATTACCTGAGCAAACTTTCAAGCTCATCAACTGTAGCCAACTGAGTTATTGCCAGGTGTGCATGCTGCCACTGACCTTTGTGCAATGATTCTATGAAGTAGAGAACGTTTTCACTCCACAACCACCATTTGGATCCTGGTACTCTATCTTTGCCATGATTTACAAGTGACCATGCGATCTGGTATTCACCCTAGGGAGATTATTTTTTTTACAACAAATAATAGCCCTTATGTAAGCTTAGATAATCAAACTTTACAAATCAAGTGGGAGAGAAGTCAGCCAATACTGGAACTCTTTGGTTTGTAATACGATACAGTCAGGAACGACATCATCATTTAGATACTGTATGGGATTGTAAGGGTGGGATGGACTTGAGGAAAGAGTTTGGGCTTAGGGTGGAGGGTTAGTTTGGAGTGGAAATTGCAGTGTCTTCAAATCAGATCCTCCATGAATGGGATTTTTGGATCTTTATGAGGGGCATCAGTGGCTGTAACTGTTTAGGTGTTGACACAACAATCATCACTGTAAGATAAAGGTCTAGAGTTCAAATTCAAGAGCCCTGCATTTGAACCCGACATACTTACAAATGGGCTTTTTTTTTCAAAAACACCGGCACCCCGAGGGTCCACATAATTGAGTAGTTGAAATACCCTCGCAGGGGAGAAAAAAACAGATGAGTGGAGAAATTTGAGTTGAAAGGATTGTATTAATTCAATGTTGAAGGATTGGCTGACCCCTACAATTTGACTTTGTATGTCCAAATTGTTTGATGAGTGTTTTATAAGCGGTTAGTTTGTGTTATGCAAAATACATTATTAGGATACAAATCTATTATATAAATATTGATATACATACATGTATACATATACATTACATATATGTATACATATGTATACATGTATGTATGTATTATTATAATTATTGATTAAGAAGAATATTAATTGTGAATAAATTATTAGTTATAAAATATCCATATATTAATTACTCTTAATTAATCAATATATGAATAAATTATAAAATTTAATTAATTTGTGTTTTAAATATAAATAACGAAATGTTATAAATATTTAAATTAATTAACAATTAATAAAAATTAAAATATCGGTTTACACATATGTAAACGATAAAAATATAAAATCGTCTAGGTATATATAATTAATGATATTAATTATAAAATTTAATTAATTTGTGTTTTAAGCATAAATAACGAACTGTTATAAATATTTAAAATAATTAACAATTAATAAAAATTAAAATACCGGTTTACATATATGTAAACGATAAAAATATAAAATCGACGATTTCGGCCCATCTCAGTGTCTGAGTAGTTCTTGTCTTTTTAGTCGTATTAATTTAGATTATATTCTACAATTACCTGAAGAGCAAAGTAGTTTACTAAATTTGAAATTGCCAATATCAAAGCATCTCCTGCTGTATATTCTGAGATCCCTTGGGTTGATGTGTCGAGATGGAGTAACTGTTGTACGGAGAGAACGGCAAGCTCACATTTTCCGTACATATTCCACAAGGCGCTTCTAATCGCAAAACCAGACGACAGAAGGTCCATCATGGAATATTGATAATTGCGAATGTCACTTTTCGACAGAAGCTGAGAAATGTTAGAATCTATTAGAATCCAGAATATCATTAATTTAAGATGAACAAAAATCTCCATACCTCAAATACTTTTGAAGGCTGTGTACCTTGCTTTGCTAAATGCTCAGCGTATGACTGGAGGCCAAATGAAGATAAATAGTTCAAGTTCAAATCGTCACAATTTGAGATCGATCGTTCCATTAAAACATCCTGGGTAAGTTAAAAAACACAAATTATTTATCAATAAGAATATAAACTAAAAAGAATGCATTTAATACTTTCTCATCATTTTGAAGCTTATACATCCAGGCTTGTGCATGTTGTAAACAAACGTTGTCATTTGCTTCATGTGCTAGTGTAATTGCCTCTTTTAAAGCAAACAATGCTTCATCTCTTAAAAAGTAAAAATCAGTTTAAAAAATTTAAGCACTGAAAAATATAACACTGTTAATACCTGTGGTTAAATTTAGCTTGAAGAATAGCAAGGTTGAGAGCAGCAAATCTTAAGCCCTTGCAACGAACTGCCTCATCTTCGTATGAACTTGGGGCTTTTCTATCAAAATAATGATATAAGCTGTCAACAGCTCCGCAATACTCTTTAACTCTAGTGCAATTCATATAACTAAGAAAATGCTATAAAATACATAGAATATCACTTACAATAATTGTAAAAAATTCAAAATTTATGAATCGACAAAACTTACAGCTTCTGCATGTTCTGGATTAGTTGCAATGACATCTCGTAATTTTGCTTGAAGCTGAGGAGGTGGCATTGCTTGCTCAGGATTGTTCACTAACAATTTCGCTTGCTGAGCTATAAATAATTCAGCCTGTCTTCTTGACCAAAGGCCGATTGGAGGGTCATTTTTCTCAACTTCATCAAAAGAACAACAACTGTAAAATAAATTATTAGTTATTCAGATATCGTGAGATGCGGTCGGGAGTGATGTAGGTTTCAGAAAAACATTTTCTTTATCGTGCCAACGTTTCGATCTTTTATTGAGATCATCTTCAGGGCTCAAAGTGTTTGTCTTCTGTGTAATTGTGCCATCCTTGTGTGTCGTGTTGAGAGTGCCCAACCTGAAGATGATCTCAATAAAAGATCGAAACGTTGGCACGATAAAGAAAATGTTTTTCTGAAACCTACATCACTCCCGACCGCATCTCACGATATCTGAATAACTATAGATTAACGGTCACTAATCTCTACACATAAATTATTAGATTCATTCCTAACTAGACAATTTAAATTAAATAAAAAAAGTTACAAAAAATAATTTAATAACCTATGATGAAATGAAAAATGAAGGACAAAAAACAATTGCAAAGAAAAAAGAAAGATACCTTTGCTCAGACGATGCTCTTGGTGAAATGGGCTGAACAAGCTCTTCACAAATTGAGCTCAAATCCATTTCCATACTAATTCTATCTCCGAAGTGTTTACATTCAGACTCATCTAATTCTGTTACATCTTCAGCCTTCATATTGTGATCCAAGTTTACACTTCTCGAATTAAGAACGTAACTTTGATAAGCTTTGTACATGCCAACAGTCTGAGAAAAAGAAAGCTTTTCAAAAAATAATTTCACTCTTCTCAGGAAAAGACCTGCAACGAAGTTAAATTAATGTAATGCCGTGATGTCAATCAACGGTTTATTGAAAATTTTGAATTGTACTTTATTTAAAAAAAGTCAAGGAAAGTCAAAATTTGAAACAGGATACCGACATCCTTTCAGCAAACTGAGACCCAGTAGTGGAATCCAGAAACCAGGACCTGTCTGTTTGGAAGAATGGTTTTAGAAATGGAGGATCAGACTCAAACGAACTAAATTCCATTTTTTACATCGATAAATGATTTACTTTGATACAGTAAGGAAACCAAACTCGACTCGAAAAAATAAAATTGAACTGATGTTATAAATTGATATAACACAATGAATATCTCATGTAGCATCATTGCTACAACCAATCTGGATATACGGAATTAAACTGTGAGGTTCAACCAAGCGTTCCAACCTCCAAAGGATCTAGTGACTAAACTTTAAACCATTTCCAATGCTTCCATCTTTATATCCAACCTTACTATATATACATCTCCAAATTCCATTTATCTCCGGAACCGCAAGATACAGAATTTTCCATAAGACCCTAAACCCTCATCCTTACCCTTTAATCCAACATCTTTCATCCCTTGCACGTTTTGTGATTGTCATTGTTCACTCTTGTATGTTTCTGTTGTAAAATCCCTGCCAATATTCTTAGAGTAATTGTATTGCATAGATCTCCATTTAGCCTATTAAACAGTTGTTATTTTAAACCATGCAAGTGAGTTCAAAGACAATGGCATTATTGTACAGCGTGATATCAAGAGTAATTATGCCACTTGTTCAGTAACTTTAATGAAATCACTGAAAAAAATCTAGACAAAAATCACTCCTGAAAAAAATCATCACTTACTCTTCCTGACGCCCTCTAGGATGCTTAAAGCGACAAAAGGCCTCGTGAATGCTATAATACAAAATTTATGAACACAACAAAGTTGCTTGTAGCACTGTTGCAAATTGATAATTAAAAAATTTAAATCCTGATCTTAAGACTTAGGAAATAATTGTTTTTTAATAGCCTTATAAACTTTGCATGTTAGCCAAGAAACAATATATCTTATATGCGATATATATTCTTTGGAGGAGAAGGAAGAGTTGCACGAAAAAAAGGGCCCTGGATGACAGTGGGAATCGAACCCACGACCATGGGGTCTAGAGACAAGAGTTGGTTACTTGTCTACCATGGTACCCATTAGTCACAGTTCATTAGGCCTTTGATATGGCTGACTAAAAGTATTACAGTATTTTTTTTATCAATGATGATTCTATCTGAAATTGGATCTATTTTTTCACATTGGATGGAAGGAAATTCCAGTTGGTTGATTTAGAAATATTGAGTTGGGAAACTGTCTTTGGTCCTTGATTGGGTTTGGTGAGAATCCAATTTAATATTTACACATCTCACAGCTGCTGCTTATCAGTAATTGTTGATTTTCCGGAACAACCTCCATCCTCTAAAATTTCATCACAAAAATGAAATTTTGCATACAGACAATATTTACTACCAACCACTGTGCATGTCCCTCCTCCAACAATTTGGAGTGGTAGGGATTTCTCTCTTTCGTCTATTGTGGTGGCCTCTACTAATTTCTGTGAAGATTTTAGTTTCTTTTATATAATAAAAAAATAGACAGGGGTATGCTCTCAAGATCTATTGGGTTGTCCGGAAAATAATGCAGGATTTTAAGTTTTCATTAAAAAAAATCTATATAAAATATTCTGTTTACGTTTACAGGATTACTCATTTGTATGAATGTCAACACTTATTAATCCTCTTCCAAATGATATTGTTTGTTTACCTCTGTAGCATTCCGCTACTTCGAAATAATTCAGTCATCCTTATAATGTCAAAGCGAGAATTTCGTACGATTTTCTTTTACGAGTTTAAACTCGGCCGAAGCGGAGCCCAAACGGCTAGAAACATTAACCAAGTCTGGGGCGAGGGTTGTGTTAATGAGTGCACTGTGCAAAGGTGGTTTAAAAAATTTCGGGAGGGAGATTTCAGCCTTGAAGATGAAGAAGGTCGTAGAAGGCCTTCCTCTCTTAATGATGATGTTCTGCGATCAGTGGTGGAAGAAAACCCCAAAACAACTGTTCGAGAACTTGCAGAGCAACTCAAAGTCAGTAAAACGACCGTCGCTGACCACCTCAAGGCGATTGGAAAAGTGAAAAAACTCGAAAATTGGGTTCCACACTCATTAAACGATCGCCAAAAAAATCAGCGCTTTGATGTTTGTGCATCACTTCTTTGTCGAAACAAAAATGACCCATTTCTGGCCAGAATTGTTACATGTGACGAAAAGTGGATTCTCTACGATAACACTAGACGTTCTGGACAGTGGCTCGACAAAGGAGAAGCTCCAATACATTTTCCAAAGCCCCCAACTCATCAAAAAAAGGTAATGGTTACGGTATGGTGGGCTTCATTTGGTTTAATACACTACAGCTTCTTAAATCCTGGCGAAACCATCAATGCTGAATCATACTGTAACCAAATTAATACCATGCATCAGAAATTGGCAGTAATGAAGCCCTCTTTGGTCAATCGGAAAGGGCCCATTTTGTTGCATGACAACGCTCGACCACATGTGTCACGTGTAACGTCACAAAAATTATTGGAGCTTGGCTATGAAACTTTGCCTCACCCACCCTACTCTCCGGACCTCTCGCCTACTGACTACCATTTTTTTAGACACCTGGACCACTACTTACAACACATAATATTCAAAAATCAAACGGAACTGGAAAATGCATTTATTGACTTTATCAATTCTAAAAATTCTGAATTCTACTCAGACGGAATTAATAAGTTACCAACACGTTGGGAGAAATGTATTGAGAGTATGGGAAATTATTTTGATTAAAGAACATTGCTTTAAAGTAACTAGTTTCTTTTTTTTTGTTTAATACCAAAATCCTGCATTATTTTCCGGACAACCCAATACATAGCTCAATAGCGATTTTCACAGGTAGCACAACCTGTTCCTAGCTATTGTGGGACAGTTACGTTACGTTTGGTTTTCTGTCTTTTCTAGACTTAATCGGCATTGGCCATTTATAGGCCCATTTTTTTTTAAGTGGTACTTTACTAGAGCATATTCTATAAATATATTGTCACAATAGCTCGAGTGAAAAAGGCAGCAGCACATTGAGCCATTTTGAATCCCGCTCGTGACACTAGCTTTTTCATCTCAACCAAGACCTTAGATAAAAAGCATAATTATTTAAAAATAACACAGTCAATTATGACTACTAAATTTATTACTATATATAATTTAGGTTTTTGCCTGCTCTGCTGGTATTTTGTGTACTGTTTGGGCTGTAAGGAAAAAAGTATGACAAGCTCACCAATTTTACTACCCCTGTTGATTAACGTTTCGTAAGTGTTTGGTTCCAGCGGAAATTTCTCGACGGAGTTCAAAACGTCCATGATGCACCCGACATCGCGCTGCAACAAGTTGTGCGTTTCTCTTTTGAAATTTTCAACCAGGTCTGGTTCAAGGCAGTACTTGCCCGACTCGAGTATCCTTACAAATTCCTGGTAATCCATGTCAGGTGCCTAGAATCAAACACAGGATTATCTTCGTCATTAGAAACACAATTTCAAATTTACCTGAATCAGCATGAGAATCAACATGCAGAAGTCTCTCCTATAAATTGGTTTTTGTTCCTGTGGGAACAAAACTCTCTTCAACTGGCCACACATATCTATCATAATAAAACTTTAATACTCCTGAGACAAAAGTTTTTTTTAATATAAAAATTGCTTTGACCACTCACTTTTTGTTTTCAACTGACAAAGCTCATTTATGAGGATAACTATTGAGATTTTATAAGGGGTGACATACTCCAGCATACTGTTCTTGTTAACCCCCTTGAAATTCCAAATATCGTTGTGAGTGCCATTTTCGAACGTTGACATTTTCCACGATGGCGGAAAATCTTTTTGGAAAGTTCATGGACTAAAATCGACTTCGTAGGACGAAATCAATTTATCCCAGCTTACTTTTGAAGTGAAGTTCTTAAGTTATGAAAATATGAACCAAGTTTTGAAGTTTATTCTTTGTTTATATTTATACTCGTAAGAGCGTGTATAGTCGCGCTCAAGTTACTCAAAGTTCACGAAAAGGTTTCTTTTTTTTCTCTAGTTTATGTTAAAGCATTGGGGTTTTTTTTATTAAAAAATAATAATAATGTAACTAGTGCATTTTTGGCTTTGGATCATGACGGCCTTGTTAGCTCATTAAATAAAAAAAGTACACTCAATTCCACCAAAAGTCTGAAGCATAAGCATATCAAGAAGGCAAAAACGGCAAACGCACATTAGCTGCAGTTAGTTGTTCACCGCTTGGTACTCGTCTCTTTGTTATTGTTTTAAAATCGTATATGAAACGCCGAGATTGACAACACTGAGTTTTTCCCCGTTTGTTTAAATTAACCTTTTTTTAAAATATATTTATATAAAAAAACAACGATAGCTCGTAGCGAATTGTAAGAGAATTGTTACAACCGGCTGGAAAGTCATGTCGGACATCAAGTCCTTTTTCCACCAGTGGTGCGTCAAAAAGAGCGTGGAACCGGCTTTTGACATCAGGCCGACGGGTACGCGTCAAATCCGACCGGACTTGAATTTCAGAACTTAACTTTTTTTTTGTCCAGGGCCGAAGCACCGGCAGAGGTTCTTGTGCGAAGTCCGTGTACCCGGCTACAACTACGTCGGTGCTGGGAATTCGACGACGAAAAAAGACGCCCAGTTCAACGCAGCTCGGGACTTCGTACAGTACATGGTCAGGCAAGGGCTCATTTTGCCCAACGAACTTCCACAAGAAGTAAGTATCCGCTTTTTCTATGATTTGATCAAATTTGGTTTGATATTTTAATGATTTGACCATACCTGGATATCCTTGGTTGGGTCAGCCTTGAATTGTACCAACCTGTGATCAGATTGTTCAATCTGCAATAACCGACAATTTTTGGTGAAACTCGCATACTTTCACGTACAACTGCAGTTGATTGGTGGTTTTAATTGGGCGTTGTCTTGCGAACGAGGAGTAGCTACCGCTTCACAGTTTTTTCCCCAAATTATTCTCAAATAAAAGTCCAAGGAGTTTTGAACCTGGATCCACTAGCATGGCAAATATAAACCATCCCTAAGCAATCATCACATCAAATGACAAATGTTCGATAACAACCAAATACCTCATTACTAGGGTAAACCCTATTCAGTTTTTAGTGTTGAACTGTACTTTTTGATAATTGGTGGTGGTGGTGTGTGTGCGTGCACAGAGAAAGCCAAACATGATCAATTTAATTAGGCATTTAATGTGGTACATACACTGAAGGTGGTGAAATGCCAAAGCACATATGACAGAACAACACAGCAAGATTAGGTAGACAAAAATAATTGGTTATGATCAAATTTTATCATAAATGCGTTAAAAATAATCTTAAAGTTATACAACCTTTTTCAATTTTTAGCTTTGAACCATAGTTTTTGATAATTAGTGGTGTGTAAGTATGTGTGTGAGATGAGAAAGCGAGTTTGAGCAAGGCATGATCAATTTAATTAGGTACTTAATATTGATCAGACACGCCGAAGATGGCAAAACGCCGAAAATATCTGACAGAACAACTGAACAAGAATAGGCAGATGAAAATGATTGGTAACGACTAAATTTCAAAACTCTACATGATTAGTATCAAATAACGTAATATACAGGGTGTCTCTTTTAGATGCTCGGCTGAATTTCTCATCAACTGGGAGGAAAAAAGTATTTAAAAATTTTCAGTTTAGATGAAACTAATTGTTTTTGAAGAAAAAAAAAGCCCAGGTACTCTATACCTTAGGGCCAATACAATTTTAAATTAGTCAAAAATTGACAAAGTTATTGCATAAAGTTTACAAAAAATATAATTTTTTTCCCATGCAATTACAAACATAGCCAAAGGGCTACTTCAAAGAATTACCCTGAGCCATGAATCTTTTTATCACAAAAACATAAAAATATACAAACATATTCTACATAACAACCACTACCCTAAACACAATAAACTGAATAATCAACATCTACTACTCAACACTAACACTATCTACTATCACTAATAACACTACATAAATTCTGTCACAGACAATGCAACATACATATCCATTTCTTTCGTTCACGATTTATCACTCAAATTAAACACATTTCTCACTTCTGATAACTTTAAAATAGCCTTCAAAAACTATTCACACCCTTTTTTATAAAATTAAAGGTCCCTTTTTTACATTGTCAGTCTCTTTCATCTTAAAGAAGCCGACTCCTAATAGAAAAATGAAATTCAATCCCTTCTTCCTTCCCCACTTCTTCAAATCAAACATATATAAACAAAAAACATTAATATCTCAAAACACTCTCAACATGACACACAACCGTGACACATCTACACGGAAAACACACACTTTGAGTGAGTACAAAAGTATAAACGTTTTAGTGGTAAATTGACCAAGTTACTTCTTTCAATTAATTATTCTTTCTATCTAAGGTCTTGGTTGAGATAAAAAAGTCAGTGTCACAAGCGGGATTTGAACACACGACCTTTGGCTAAATACTTGAACTATTGTTTTCTTCTTTTTCTAAAAATGTCTACACACAGCCACTTACTGGGTCTTTTTTTTTTAATTTTTTTATATATTTTTTTTTAATAACTCCTGAAATAAGAAATGATAAACATTCAACATGTAACAACAATATTTATAAATAATAGGCCCTGAAGATGATCTTAATAAAGATCGAAACGGCATGATAAAGAAAATGTTTTTCTAAACATACATCACACCAGGCTGCTCTCATCTCTAAATAATCATTTATTATTTTTGTTTAAGCTGATTTGTGTGTTTTATTATTAATACTAATGATTGTGGTGTAAAAAAAGTTATTTTGTTTTTATATTAATGGAATTATCATTGTTTATACAACTGGTTTTATGGCCACCAAAGAAAGTTTTAGAACAAATTTTAATTCCAAGGAGTGTCCATTAATGAGGGATGCCCATTCAGAAGTTATAAAAGACTTTTTAAAAATCATGGTAAATGTTCTATGCAATACAAAATATTTTATATACACTGATGGACAAAATTAACACACCATCCCTAAATTTTAATGTATTTAGGTTAATTCATATTTTGTGTACCAAAAATAGGTTTGGTTGTAAAAAGAAGACATTTAAAAAGGAAATGTCTATTACCAAATTATAAAAAACCAAACATTATTGATTAAAGAACTAAATGAATAAATAAAAAATGTAAACACTTTGTCACCTTTCATACTAGGTATTTCCACCTTTTTACACAAATTTGTTAAGTGCCTTTGCATTTCTTGAAAACATTTCTGGTCAAATGTAAAAAAAAAATTAATCTTCAATTCTTTATCATTCATCTAAACAGATGTTTATAACTCTAATAGGGTGTTAGGATCTAGGTATCGCCATCGTACTCTTCGCTTAAGTTGGTCCCAAATGTGTTCGGTTGAGGTTGAGGTTAAGATGAATATTTTAGGGTTGGTTTGTTTACCAGTAATCAATAGCAAACAGTTAAAGGTTCGATGTGTTATACAGCCGACTCTTTATAATACAAAACCCAAGAGAGCACAAAAATAATTCAAATTTTCAAGAGGAAAGAAAATTATTTAGAGTTGATATGCATTTTTACTAGTTTTTAATTGAATTGCACATATATAAAACATAAAATTAATGAAAAAGTGGAAATAGATGAACAATAAAATTGAACATTGTTATGCACTATTACAAAAAAATTTGTGAAGCGGTTTTTGTTTTAATCTAGCCTGTCTAAATAACTTTCCAACGTGACCAGTGCTGAGAACGTATTGACAAACCACTGACCACTTGACATAACAAACTAGAGAAAATTTGAAGAAACTTTAGGCTGTGTGGAGTAAACAATACAAGGAAATTTAGAGGAATATTACAAACAATAAGTTTGAATTATAAACAGGGGAAGTGGTTCCATTTTCCTATATAGAAATGCTCTTTCTCCCCATTAAGAAAACATTTTGTACTACTGGATGTATAAAATACACAGAATTTTTGCTAAAGTGACCTGCTGAGATTGTATTATCAGTAAATTTGATTTATCAAGTTTTGAATTAACAACAAGAGTCTTTTGTATTATTAAACTTCACAATTTAATATTTTAAAATGAAATCGTACTAATACATATTAACAAATGTATTAAATAATTTTTTTTTCAGTTGGCAACAAAACATGGTGAAAACATTCTAAGCAGTGATTCGGCAGATGGAACACAGCATTCATCCGGTATTTTATCCCGTCCCGTCTTTCAGCCGGGCATGGGACCAGATACAATGGGCCAGGCGTATACTCCTTTCCAAAAAGGAAATGGACCCCAGACATATATTGATGTCATTGCTGAACAAAAACGTGTTGAAGAGGTAAACAAGACTTAAAGAAAATTCCAATTGGATTTATTTCAGTAAAAATAAAATATTCAAATTCTTTTAGGCCGAGGAGGTTGATGTCAATGCTGCTATTCATGGCAACTGGACCATAGAAAATGCCAAATCTAAACTTCATCAGTTTATGCAAGTTAACAAAATAGTTGCAGATTATAAATATACTGTCGTTGGACCAGATCATAACAGGTAATATCCAAACTTTTTAAATTTATAAATTTTTAAAAAAGTATGATTTTTAGGGAACGGTTGTTCAATAATTTGTTGAAGCCGTGAGGAGTGGTCAAGAAAGAAGTATTTGAGAAAAATATCTTTTTAATTTTTTGGCCGTTTTGACCACACATGTGGATATGAAATACTTTATTCAAAATGTATAATTTACATTTGTATAGTATTTTTCCATTCAACATATGTTTTGTAATTTACTCAAGCCCTGAAGATGACCCAATAAAGGACGAAAGGTGCAAAAAAACAAATGATAAAGGTGTTTTTCTAAAATACTTCACTCTTGACTGCTCATCACGACTTCAATAAATTATTTTTAAAAAAATATTTGCCCAAAATTATTACAACGATTAAAGCCATTCATAAATGAAGCTGAACCTTTTTATGTTTGTTTTTTCATAAATTCCATGTTAATTTTTAATTGGCCATTAATATTGATTTTTCACAAGTAGGATAAAATTTGTAATTATAACAATTCTTTAAGTATGGGCTAAAATAACAAATTTTAAAAATATCATTGCAACAGCTCACTCTCAAATTATGATAGCTCTACCCTAACTTTTTACTTTTTTTTAAATTAAAAATAAACAGGTTTACACGACAAAAAAGTGATATATAGTGAACCCTCTTATTGTCAGACAACTTTGGTGCTGTCTGTTTTGTAACTTCTTTAAAAACTTTAATAAAACATCACTGCAAGAATAGACTGAAAGGTGTACACCAGTGTAACAAGGTAGACACTTTTCACATATTACCTTAAGAAAAACAATGTGACAAGCAAGAACATTTAGAATAATACTCAATAAATTATTGTGTATTGTTCTAGAAAATAAAATGACAAATTCAGGGAAACACTGCCAAATAAAAATTACGTAAACAAAATACACCCAATATCTGCACATAAGCAGCAGCAGACATTGGTCAGAGAATCAGATGACATTTTACTAAAATAAATCTAATTTATTAGTTGCGCACCACTGGGAGGTGAACGAATTTCATGCATGTTGTCAGCAAAAAATTAATGGATTTGGTGGTGTTTTCCTGAAAACCAGACAGTTCTGCTAACATGTGGCAAATCTTCTAAGAAAGTGTATGATGGTAAGGACATTAATTATTTGTAATATACATATTTTGATTAGGCTATTTTATTTTTAATAAGTTCAATGTAGCTGACCTTCAGGGTAGCCAAAATAATCCAACCAGCCTGACTACTGGCCTGCCAGCATGTCAGGATGCATAAGAGAAAAAAAAAATTTGCTGCCCTGTAGGGTGAAAATTAAAATTCCAACTAACATTGAACGTGTTAATAATTAAATTAAGCTCTTTCTATCTCTTCACAATTAAAGGGTCGCAAAACCATCAGTAAATTTCATTTAAAAATTAAACCTCAGGTTTGTTTTTTCTTACTTTAGTAACTTTTTTTTCAAGGAACTTTAGAAAATAAATAAAAAGTTATAATATAAATAAAAATTACTGATGTAAAAGTACACCCCTGCCATACAAAAATTATTGATGGGTCAAAGTATGTTTGAAGACAAAGAAACTCAAACCTTTACTCCATTGTGGTGTTCATATATTGTGGAACACCTGTGTTTAAGATGATACAGTAGAAGTGTGCTTTTCCCATAAAACTTAATTTTTTTCTTCTCCTTCACACATTTTTCTTAGTGTGAGAATTACAACTAAGTTATCAAAAATTGAATTTAGGATGGAACTATCAAATGTTTACAAGATAATGACCCAAAAACATAAGACTTTATGAAGAAGAGAATTGTTGCTGTACAATGTTCTACAAAAAACCTAAAATATCTGTACTTAAGAATATTAGAACATTTGAAGGGATTACTTATAAATCCAAAGGAAATAATAAATTTGAAGATCAGTCATCATCTTCGGGAGAAATTACAATTAAAATGATATAAAATTCCCCAAGAATTTGATGATGATACATACATATATATGCTGTTGTCTTAAAAAAAAATTCGCCTCTGGTCTGCGGGGTGATGAACTTGATAGTTACTAAAGTCTATCTTTGCTGATTTTGTAAGGTGGACCAAGATGATAGTAAACTATAATCATAAATTTACAGAACAACCATAACTTTTTTTTGGTTAAATTTTGATCCTTTTTATGAGGGTGGTCTTTCCCCCTGTTATTTTGTTATATATAACCTGAGCCTTTAAAGTTCCTTGTAATTAGCCTAAAAAAAATTGTAAGAAGAAAAATACTTTTGGCACTGCATATACATTTGACTAATCAATATTTTCATAATTAATTATAAAAATGAAATAATTAGTTCAAATGTATTAATTATATGACAATAAGTCTATAACATATTGACTAAACATTAAATATATATTATTTTGTGTACATAACATCTTTTGGCTTATTTATCATAAACTTGCTTCATTTTTATTAATTTATTACTCTTTAATTAAATAGTAAGCAGAAGGTAATATAAAAATATTATCAACAAACCAAAAAGGAAGTAATTATTTTAGAAAAATTTGATGATTTATTTTCAATTATTTGTGATTAATATTTGATAAACAAATAAATTTAAAAAAGATAATTAATAAACTAGTTAAAATGATTCTGTCATTTATAGAGGTTTTGTTGCTGAGATGACCATTCCTTGCAAAAAGTTAGGACGTTGTAAGTCTCAACCCTTAGTATTTGACACTGTATTGCTATTCGGAAGAATGCCTTACATTTTTACAATTTCCAGCCGTCACTGGAAGAGAAACAGGATCTAATAAACAAACAGCGTCAAAAAGCTGCGCTCTTAGCATAGTAAGACAGTTGTACCATTTGGGTGTGATTGAAGCCTTTTCTGGCACACTCAAAAAAGCGGCTAATGAGCAAATTCCTGCCTACGAAGCAAACGTTGATCCACAACTGGTCGAAAGGATAATGAACCTTCTTAATAAACTCCAGATAAACCCACCAACTATTGTAAGTAGAGATATTGTGTTAAATGTGTTATGGTGACGTAATTTGTCGAATCCTGTCAATCATGACAGCCTTGTAAGGTTTTTTATAAATGTTTATAGACCAGTGAAAATGAATAATAATTTTTCTATACAAATACTAACTGAAAATTAAGTTATGTTGATCTAAATTACACAAGAACAGAAAAACACATGTGATAAAATTGTCATTAAAAGAATAAATATATTTTAATTCACAAACAATTAAAGGGTAGATTTTTCTGTGTCTTAGGGAGATGAATCAGTACCTCCTGAAAGAAGCAGGAATGTATTTGAGCACTCAAGCTCCAACTACTGCAAGAAATTGATAGATCGTCATTTTGAGGAGGGAACATTAACAAAGGGAATAGTCAAATTGAGTATACAGTTGGCCCAGAATCTCCTCTGCCTTAAGCCTTACCAATTTGCCAAGGCGACCAATTTAATAGATCAAATAATGCAACTTGGAAAAGCTGAATTACTGACAAGTGATATCGATATAGCATTAAAAATGTGATTTTGTATTAAAAAGGGTGGGTTTTGGGGGTTCATTTTTAACTAATACTCATTTTGTTTAATGTTTTATACAAATACATAGTTTTGTTTTTGTTTTTGTTTTGTTTTTTATAAAATTTGAGTTAAAGTGGTTGATTATACAGCGACCAACAAGTGTAAATTAGTTGTCATGTTATTATCGGACAAATGAAAAACCATATTTTTTTGGCAATGCTGGATGGAACTTGCAGTAATATCTTATATTATAATTATAAATGGCAATTGATAGACAGACACTGGAATATTGCATTTTAGATAAATATTGTCCTTTGTTTCTAATTGAGGCAAAAACAGGCCATTCTGCATTTATGACAGTGTTTTGTCAAAAGACAGAAGGCGCGAAATCACGCCTGATCTTAGCGTTAAGGTTATTAGACAACTGTTGCATTTTGTTATTGATGTAGGTGCAATGAACTAAGAAAATCTGCACTAACTATTACTAGATTTTCAAGGAAAACAAAAAAATTTACAAGGACTGCTCTTTTGATCCAAAATTTTAGTTTTAAGTATAAGACCCACACTTGTGCTGATTTCTTTCATCTCCTATTCAACATATACCAATAATCAAATTCATTTGATTTTAAACTATTTTAAAGAATTGATGAAGATCTCCCTTTGTTCTTCTATGTAAGAGTTTTCTTCATAAACTGCTTCTTTTATTGGATAGTATTTGCTACACACATAAAGCAAAGTTGTGGCTCTTTAACATTTGCAAATTCATCCAGCACAAATTTTTCCTCCTTGGTTTAACTGGGATAATTGAGTTGATTCTTTTTTCAGTACAGGTTTATATGAACAAAGAAGAGCAATTAATCTAAAATAAAAACGTCCTTTTTATAAGCTCTGGTATAACAACACTCGTTGGCCACAGTATGATTATTTTCTGTGTAATAAAACTTTTTTTAAAATAATTCCTTGGATTACAAATTAATCATTAATCTACAACGATTTTTCTTGATTTTTTTAATTGTATTTATATTTTCCTTGGTGCATCAAATTTAAGAAAGGTTTCTTTTTAAGTACAGTACACAAACATAAACACAATTTTTATAATTGACTTTCGTTGTTAGAAGCAAGTGATTTTTCTTTTCCAAATAAAATTATTTTAATTATTTATAATTACGCCTCTTACGTTTTATAAAAATGGTGAATATTCTTATTATTTGTACTGATATTGTATTTGTATATTTTTGTTTTTAATTGAAAGCCAGTTCTGATGTATTCATTTATTGCAAATATGTACAACATCTTACTATTGTTTTTTTATAATATAATATTTATCGACTTTTAGCTTTTTTTTATTTATTAACATTTTCATTGGAATAAGCGGAAAAAATCATTTGCTTTATCACATAAAGGTAAAAACTATCATTATATTATTTTTTACATCATTATCATCTTTTGCACAAATTAATTTTATTTAATTGCATTCTCTTTAATTAAGTTATGTTTTTGTTAGTAGAAAATAAAATTTGAAACGATACATTTCAAATTGTACAAATTCGTACCAAGTAACAGTATTTTGGATGCAGTTTTATAAAAAGAAAAACCAATTTCAATTTTTATACTAATTAACAAAATTAATACTTTATTGCTAAACTTATTGTTTAATAGTTTTAAATTTAAACTTAGCACAACTACTAATATTAACAAAATATAATACAAACAACAGAGCAGCTGGGTAATTCACTTTTCCTTCTCCCGTAAGACTGCCTGCATGTCATCAGTCCGGTGGGTTTGATCAGTATGGCCTTTTATGCAGGTCACTAGCACAATTTTTCTGTCAGTTTGCAGAAAGTTGTAATAACACATTTTTTAAACTAACGCAACGCTCACTTATTTGTTGCTCAAAAGAAATTCTGGACATTTTTGTTAGCAAAAAGGTTAAAACGCATAATAAATGCACATACATTATTGATTTATAACGGTAATTACAATTTCCTCAACTCATTACTAGCTATTATTAACTAAATAACATTAAAAAATGTATTGACTGATACCCCAGCTCTGAATAAGAGTTCTTATTTTTCCAATATGAACCTTACACCGGTAATATCCAATTATTGGCATTTTCTGAAGATGAGAAATACATTTTCAAAATATATTTGTTTTTATTTAAGCAAATTTGTAAACACAATGACACAATAATCCTTTTCTGTTTTTGTTTGTTTTGAGCACATTTATTAACCTGACAAAATGCAGAAATGTTCAAATTAAAAAATGATACATAACACCTGGCACTTGTTAGACTGTATGCTAGTCTTCCTTTATCATCTTGATCTACCTGATTTCATTTTGCATTTTGCCATCTTCAGTAGTTAGTCAACAGCTTTTTTTCTATGTTGTGCCCTTTTATAAGTAAAATGTGAAGAGTAAATTGTCAAAACTGCATCTGATGGAAAATAGAATAGAATGATCAGATGTCTACGAATATATCACTGCTGACTTGAACGTTTTAAAACTTAAACACTTGTTGACTTATAATAAAAGAAAAGCTAACTAGAGTTAAAGATAGATAGTATATATAAAGAGTGAGGTTTATGGGCTGATGAAAAAACAGTTGAGGGATGACCTCTGCGTGTTTTCCTTATTTTTCTGATCTTTACACATATTTTGTTTTAAACTGCAGTCATCTGAGCTTCTTGATCTAGGTACTGACTCTACTTTTAAATGTATACTATGTTGATATACTAATATGCTAGCTCTCCTTTGTATCTCAGGTTGTCAAATATAAAATAGATACAATATATGTATATATACATCACCACAAACATAAAAGTCTGGTTACATTTATTCCCCTAGAGTACTAGGGGTTGAACCATTCACATTGAAATATTCCAAGTAAAAAACAAAACATAGTGTATTTCATGTAGTATAAACTTATATCGAGATTAGTTTTTACCTGATAATTAATGAAAGAAAAATGACTGTATTACTAAATTTGTTTATAGTTTATAAATTTGCTTGTGAGATTTCCTCCTGTGGTCTGTGGGATGTTAAACCTATTGCTTGATAACTATGATTTTGGTCTGCCTATCTTTGATTTTTGTTGTTTCTTACGTGTTCCGACAATTCGCCATCTTCAGTATTTGTCACCACAAAAATCACCCAAACATTGAAATTGGCAAACTGATGAAACACGTCTGAAACTTAAAAATCAGTGAGGATAGGCAGACCAAGATGATGGTAATTATCAAGCAATATATTTTCTTTAGTGTTTGTATGTTGAAACAACAAAATATCCTTTCTTTTATTATTTTGAAATTTACTGGCCACAATATGGCCACGAGCTGATTATTCTGATAGTGACAACAGTTTTAACGTAATAAGTTCGGGATAACCTGATATGCTTGTGCAGGTGATTATGTTTACTTAGTTTTAAATTAATTTTATTAAAAACGGTTTGATTTAATAAATGATATTTGACAAATTTGAGAACCACAATGAGTACATCGGAGAACTATTTGTAGGTCTCATTTAAAAAAAAAGAAATTCTTTACATATTTAATATGGGAAATTTTTTATAAAACTATGAGTCCTTTCTTGCATTTGTTTCAACCAGTGCATTTAAATATTATATGCGTTAAAAGTGATGAACCTATAATTTGATCTTTACTAATCATACATTTATTCTAATGATCCAAATTAAAATCCTGTAAATCTCAGTTTGAAAAATTATATGTTTATTGTAAATAACACTTTTTACGACCATATGCATAGCGTTATTAAATAATTCAATACATTCCAGACTGGGCCTGGAACTCCTGAGGAGCCTGTTTCGCTCGTTACCAGTCAAGTGCTCACTGAGTTTGTCACACAGCGAAAACAAATGGCAGGTGTTGTGTCTTGGTCGCCGCCTGTGGAAAACTGGAATCCTTGGCTTGGCTGTAATATCGACGAAGGGCCTTTAGCAACTGTAAGTCTAATTATACTTTGAGTAGTATAACCAATTAATCTATGTTATGCATAGGCGACATTAGATAACATCAGCTCGGATTTATATGCTGGGCAAAGAGAGAGAATGCAAGGCGATAAAGAATTACAAAGGTTCAAAAGTGAAAGGGAAAATCTTCCTGTGTTTTCAATGAGAGGTCCAATTATGGAGGCTATTAATGAAAATCCAGTGATAATTATTAGAGGAAGCACCGGTTGTGGAAAAACTACCCAAGTAATTACAGAAAAATAATAGTTTTTATTTAATTCTTATCTTTTTATATGTATTTAATGACTTTTTTTAAAAGGTGTGTCAATTCATACTTGATGATTACATCGAGTCTGGACAAGGCGCTTATTGCAATATTGTCGTTACTCAACCTCGAAGAATATCCGCGATATCAGTTGCCGACAGAGTTGCTTCAGAAAGAATTGAAGATCTGGGACAGAGTTGTGGATATTCCGTCAGATTTGAATCTTGCCTGCCCCGACCTTATGGGGCAATCTTGTTTTGCACAATCGGTATGATTTTTTTAAACTTAAAAAAAAAATTTAACTTAAATCTTACTTCTATTGACTATAGTTTTTAATTGTTTTGTTTAGGTGTCTTATTAAGGAAAATTGAAAATGGTCTTAGAGGTGTATCACATTTGATAATTGACGAGATTCACGAACGAGATGTTAACACAGATTTTCTCCTTGTGGTTGTAAGGGATATGGTCCACACTTATCCAGATCTAAGAGTAATTCTCATGTCTGCCACTATCGACACATCGCTATTTTCAAACTACTTTAACAATTGCCCTGTTATTGAAGTGCCAGGAAGAGGATTTCCTGTTAAATGTATGCATAATTTAAAAACACGTTTAAATTTTTTGAATAATCTTTTGTTTGTTCTTCCTTTCAGCTTACTTTCTCGAGGACATAATTGAAATGCTAAATTTCTTACCACCTCCAGACATGCGTAAAAAGAAGGGGGGAGACAAAGACAGAGATGATGATTTTGGAATGGTTGATGATGATGAAAATATGAATTTAAAAATAGAACCTCATTATAAAAACAGCACTAAAACAGCAATGGCCAAATTAAGTGAAAAAGATGTCAGCTTTGAACTTATAGAAGTATGCTTGTATAAACAAGTCAATGTTACTTATGAATTATTATTTTTTTCTTATTGATATTATGTTTACTTCATAGGCATTACTGAAACACTGTAAAGGATGTGGAATACAAGGGGCTGTGCTTGTTTTTCTTCCTGGCTGGAATGTTATTTTTGCTTTATTGCGGTACTTACAACAGCATCCTATTTTCAGTAAGTTTTTGGTTAGTTAAACAAAACCACGAATAAATTTATGACAAAATGTGTGGTGATTAGTGACCGTTACTCTATGATTATTCGGAAATCGTGAGATGCGGTCTGGCGTGATGTAGGTTTCCGAATAATTAAGACAAAATATTGATACAAATATTTCCAGGTGGTCCCGGATTTTTAATCCTGCCGCTCCATTCTCAAATTCCACGTGAAGACCAAAGAAGAGTGTTTCAACCGGTTCCCGATGGTGTCATGAAGATAATACTGTCGACAAACATTGCAGAAACATCGATTACGATTAATGATGTGGTTTTCGTCATAGATGTTTGCAAATCAAAAATTAAACTTTTTACATCTCACAACAATATGACAAACTATGCCACGGTGTGGTGTTCAAAGACAAACTTGGAACAGAGGAAAGGAAGGGCTGGCCGTGTCCGGGAAGGATATGCTTTCCATCTTCTTTCCAAGGTAATCATATTGCACAAAAGTTTTGACTATTTTCAATTTAAAACAAATAAATTGTTTCCAGGCTAGATACGCAAAACTTGAGGAACACATGACTCCTGAAATGTTTAGAACTCCTCTACATCAACTGGCACTCTCAATTAAACTCCTTAAGCTTGGAGCTATTGGCCAGTTTTTAAGTAAAGCTTTGGAACCTCCTCCTATAGATGCAGTTATCGAAGCTGAAATGATATTAAGAGGTCCTATTACCTATCTATCATATAATAATCACCTTGACGATATTTTTAAATAATGACTTACATTCCAGAAATGAATTGTTTGGACAACGCCGATGAACTCACACCTCTTGGAAGGATCCTTGCAAGGCTTCCAATTGAACCTAGACTTGGAAAGATGATGATTGTTGGTTGTATTTTTCAAGTCGGCGATGGCCTTGCGACAATTGCAGCTAACAGTTCTACATTTCCAGAAGTATTCATTACAGGTAAGAATTATAATACTTACTCTAATTAACATGTTAGTTACGGCACTGATTTGTAAAGACTCTCCTGAGATATGGAAAAAAATTAGATTAAATTGTAAAAAATTCCAAAAAGCTCAAATTGAAAAATAGTCTTCACAGTAATGTTGACAAATCGATACTAAAGGCCTGTGGCACCAATTCAATTCCAAATGTACCCCCAACAAACTTCAACATAGGGGTTTTCTAAAAAAGATGTATCGTACTGGAACGATGGCTGTAATGAATGTGTTAAATGTTTGTGTTTGTTTACAATCAAGATATAATTTTGTTCGTTTCCAGAACGACGTTTATCCGGTCTTCAGAGATCATTTGCTGGTACAAGGTTTTCTGATCACATTGCCATGTTGAATGTATATATTCAGTTTGCCAAAGCAGCTAATAGAGGCATTGAAGCGGAATTGGCATTCGGCGAACAAAAGCAAGTCTCTTTGCCTACCCTGAAAGTCACTGCTGATGCTAAAGTATGGGGACAGTAATTATTTAAAAATGTGAAATTTATTGTGAACGTTCTTATTTATTTTAAGGCTCAGTTGAAAGATTTGCTTATATCTTGCGGATTCCCAGATGAATGTTTACAGCCTATGTATTACCATTTTAATGACTTTGATGAAAATTTGGACATGATCGTAGCCCTATTGTGCATGGGGCTTTATCCAAATGTTTGTTACCATAAAGAAAAACGGAAGGTATGCAATTTGTTTAGGATATTTTAATTGTTTATTAATTAATGTATTTTTGGTATTTTTAATAATTAGGTGTTAACAACAGAATCAAAACCTGCTTTGGTTCACAAGACTTCAGTCAACTGCACAAAGTTTGAGACCAGATTTCCCTCTCCATTTTTTGTATTTGGAGAAAAGGTAATAATAGTAAATTGTTCTAAAAGCGTATTACATTTGTAAACAATAAAAATCCATTTAAAAAAAATCCATTTATAAATAATATTTCAGATCAGGACAAGGGCAGTTTCTTGCAAGCAGACAACTATGGTATCACCTATACATCTTCTATTGTTTGGTTCTAGAAAAGTTGAATTAGTAAATAACTGTATCCGCCTTGACAATTGGTAAGTTAGATAATGAAGTGAAGCAAAAAAAAGTATTAAAAAAAAAGTAAAACAGTGAAATTTTATTTTTCCAGGGTAAATCTTCAAATGCCCCCCGAGGTTGCAGCTGCGATTGTAAGCCTCAGGCCTGCACTCGAGAGCCTGGTAGTCAAAGCGAGTCAAGATCCTGGAGAGATCTTATCATTCTCAGATGTTGATAGAGAAATTATTGCTGTGATCAAAGAACTGTGCCAAATGAATGCTGGCCGGTACAACCTCACGCAGTACGAGATGTAAGCTGTTTCCTTTTGTTACCAAGCCTTATGTGTGATTTTGACAGTCAGGGATGACCATTAAATTAATGGTGTCAGGTTATATAGGAATTTTATTTTTATAGCCAGTTGAGCAGATTTATCAGTTAATTAATGACGATGTTAAATCTGTGAAGCATTGAAAATATTTATTTTCACTTTATGTTTCTGGCCCCTAATATAAAAATAATAATATTTATTTAATGGCAAATTCCAAAATAAAACCTAATTCAATCAATAACATAAGTTGGTAGTGTTTTTAGAGTCTTTGATGTCTACAGATATATAAATAAATGCCATCAGTTTTGTTCGGTCCTGGCAACTTAATTATTCATTATATACAGAATTAAATCTCACTGTGGTTTAAACTTTAATCCAAAGAATCGCAGGGCTTTCTATCAATAAATGTTGTGGAGCCATTTGTGTAAGGCAGGATGAAAAAGATAAGCTTGGCTAGTGCATCCTAGCCAAACTAATATTTCTTCTTGCCTTGTAATTAAACATGAAGTCAAGAGAAATCTTTGGGCACAACAATATTTTACTGATCACTGTACGCAGTAAAAAAAAACTCAATAAATAATTCTCCTCCATTTCCATCCATTCAAACTGTTCCACCTTTAGATGTTCATTTGTTTTGCAAATTGGCAAGACCCTGTGCTCATCACTGTAATTTAAAGGTACTGACTTCCAATCCAGCAGTCCTTTCAAATCCAATAATTGCAAATGGGCTATTTTTTTTTTTTTTTCAAAACACCAAGTTCATATAACCTCATAGTTGAAATACCCTCGTTTAAATGTGTCATTTACCGTACTCTCGTTGTTTACACCTTGTACTATTGATTTGAATTGTTTGAATGAAAATTTATACAATCTCTTCTTGAGATGTGTCATATTGACTGAATTGCAGCAAACCAAGGAAGCCATTCTCATCTATTGAAAAACACTACAAACTTATTTTATAGTATAATAAACCAAATTTATATTTTACTCCTAGGTTACATTGTATGTAGGTTGGCCAGGTCATCTTGCCATCCCTGACACCAAACTTTTGTCAGTAAGAATCAGTAGTGTGAGCCAAACAATTTATAAATCAAACCAATAATTCACTAAAGGGTATTTTATTTTGTTTTTAAAACAACATTGAATATTTCAACTACAATTGTGTTTGAAAGATTTGTGTGCTCTACATGTTAGAAAATCTCTTTTCTGATTCTGGTGGAGAATTTCTAAACTCCAAGCTATTGCAACAAAATTGATTTATTTATTTAAAGGGGGAAATTATTCATGTGGATTTATCCTCATTGTTATTTGACCATCTTAATATAATTATGTATATTTGAAAGAGCCTGTATCATTTTACAAACAAATATAAATATGATTTTATTTATCAAAGGACAAAAGGCATCAAGAGAGGATACTTGGATGAGTCAGATGAAGCACCAAGACCTAAACAAGGTTTTAATAGAGGTCAGTTTCTCTTAAATTTCTTAACACTTTTGGTGTTTTTAGAGAACTTCCCAAGTGGGAAAGAACATTACATTCCTACTATTTATTTTATTTTTAGCTTATATAAAACAGCAACTTTTTTTGTTTGTAATTTTGTAATTTTATTGTCGTTTTTCTTTTTGTTTTGTTTTCTTTTTTTTCTATTCATCCTTTAGGAATGAATTATTTTTATGGGGAAGATAGATTTGTTTATTGAATAACCAAATTTTCCTCAGCAACTCCTAAAATAGCTGTTGTGCTTTCCTAAAAAAGCGTTGACAGGAATGTAAATAGTACATTCATGTTTTATCAAATATTTTATATTATTTTTCATCTGGTTTGTAAGTGAGGTAGTTTATGTGTTAGCTATGTGTTTTATTAATGGATTATTTTTGTTTATTATGATTTTTTATTGTTGTTTTATTAAGCTTGTAATAATTTCTACATTTGCAAGTACAGTGGAGTCCTGCTAATCAGAACACAAATTTATAGTTCTATATAATCCAGACACGTTTCAGTCTACAAAAAGAATTTTTTTTAGTTTGAAAAATTTAGATCAATTTTATTCAAACTATTGACAATTTCGTACTTTATTTCCTGAGATGCAGTGTTGAACTTGCTTGGTATTTTCCAGACGTTTTGATCTATCAGATGCATTTTGCTTTTTCACCATCTTCATTGGTGGATTTTAACCAAAATTATTATAAAGAAATGAAGATGGCGAGTAGCCCAAATGCATAGGCAGACCAAAATGATCAGAAACAGCCAAACTACACTATCACCTGATCCGGTGTATATAAATGCACTACTATTTTTTTAATCATAATTTCTGCTAATAACAGGACTCAGTCCCAATTTGTTTGGATTAATGGGACTTCACTGTACAAATATATTTTACATAGTATTAGTAGTAGTAGCAAAGAGTCTATGCTATTAAGGACAAAAAAACTTTTAAATAATAGTTCTGCTCACAGATTTGAATAAATGATTTGAAAAAATCTGTGAGATAAACTATCATTTACAAAAAGTGAATCTGCATACTCACCCTACCTTCATCATTTAGAAAAAAAAAACTTGTTTTGTTTTTTAAACAATTGTAAAGAGTGCAAAGTAAGTTTTCTTTTTGGTTGATGTAGTAGGTATGTTGTATAATAATCTTGAAGTTATTACTACTAAAAAAGAAAATTGGTTAAATTGAGAATATTTATTACACATTTAAAAAAAAGCACAAGACAATAAGGTGGAGGATTAGGACAAGGATGCATAGAAGGACAAGATAAGCCTCGTGGCAAATACGTCTGACAAACTAGACCTGACATCTTGCTTTCTTGGATTCCAGCACAAACTGTTCTCTTCAGTTATTAAACATGTTAATTTATAACTATAACCTCTCATCAATTAAACACTTAGGTGAATCAGTTTGTGGACTTAATTAAGTTTTGTTTGTTAATTTTTTATATTTTTTATTTCTTTTTGAGCTACACTTTCATCTAGGGCGATCCAAGTCCCTCATATGAACTTCATCATTTTCATTTTTTATTAATAATAACATCAAGATTATATATGTTACTACTTAAAAGTTAAAACATCTATTTTTATTATGTAATACTTTGACTGCAGATGTCGAACACACTTTAACTCAAACACCGATTCTATGCTGAGTCGAAGCGTAGTTGACATTTATGTGTGAGGGTTTGTTTGGTTTTATAACTTTATAAGTGTAAACTGTGACTTTCTTTGTGTGAATAGTTGCTTTCCCACAAAAAAGGATTTTTTATTTTTTCAAATGATCATTTAATCTGCTTCAGAGTTTTTACTTGTTAAACGCTTTTCTTTGGAAAAAAAAAAATACAAATTATCAAGTGATGTTCAAACTAAAAAATAGAAGACAAGTTAAAAATTTGTAATTGATTGACTCATTGGCAAAAAAAGGTATATATTTTCCATTCCCAACTTGGTATAAAGATTAATAATCAGCATAAAACACAACATTAATAACTTGTTTACCTTGTGATACTAATCGTTTTACAGTATTTTGATTGAAAATAAAGAAAATCCGTCCAATTTCATCTGTTACACACACCAAGTGCAGGATGTGCTATGTTCTACATATTCTATATTCTAAACTACCATCCAATAGTCGTTTACCCCCTTGGAAGTCTCGATCAAAGAGAAGGTAGTGGTTGAGTACGATGTATGATGGCTAGAGACGATTGTTTTATGCTCTTACCACATTTCCTTGACTTCAAATAGTCTGTTCTGTAAGGTTGATTCCGGCTTCTCTCATGATCTCAAATTTTTTAGGATTATTAATTAATAATCTAACTTCATTTATACTTAGTAATTTACGCATGACAGTACAGACAGTACAATCACGTTCATCAGGTTTGAAGCCGTTTAATAATTCCATCCAAACCGGTCATTAATTGTACAGCAAAGGCTAAATAACTGTTCCTAATACCGCTACACTTTTACCAGTCCATGTTTTCTTCCAGGGAATGAAATCTGATAGATAAAAGCTAAATAATTAATAATGCTGGAAATTTATATTTATATCCATATAGTGAGTCCCCACTCCATTTTTTGAAAGAATATTTCAATTATTTATTTTCATTAGAATTAATAAAATTATTTTTTATATTTTTATTAGATCTTTTTTAGATAAAAACTAATATGGTAATTGCAATCAATTCAACGTGAGCTCTTAAGTAATGACCAGGACTGTGTGGATAAGACATTTCATGTGCCATGCATGAGTCACAGCCTTTTCAAAGCTATCATTTACGGTATGAGATGGTTTATTGTACAAAATGGATCTTTGACTGTGCTAAGGTACGTTAGGAAATTCTTCTGACAACTGTGGCCCCGTTTGTTTGGGTCCCAAGTTTGTCCCAATTTTTCCATTTATTAGAGACCGCTTCACGTTAATGCATGAAATGCTTGACCTCATGGAACTCGAGTTGTCACCCATTACTTGGAGGATGTAGGAATTACCACAATGAATTGGTCAGCAGTTCCTGAATTTCATAGAACACTTGTGGGATATGTTAAAGAGACAGATTCACCACCTCCAACAAGTGTTAATTTAGCTCTTGTTAAAAAATGAAATTCTGTTTCAAATATCGCCTTTTTCTCAATGCCAACGACTTAAATCCCTCAAAAAAAAATAATATGCATTATTAAGAGCAAAATCAGGCAATAAATTGTTAGTTAAATATTAATCCATCACTAAATGATATTCTTCTGGTGTTTTTCATTAATTTTTATTTAACGTGGTTTGGAATATTCTACAAGGGGACCGCGGTAGCCGAGTGGTTAGCATGAGAGACTCTCACGCCACGGTCGTGGGTTCGATTCCCACCGTCGCCTCTGGCCCTTTTTTCCCGATAACCCCCAATTTGAACACACAAGAATTCGTACTATGGCTAATATGCAAGAACATAAGGCCAATAAAAAAAAAAAAAAAAAAAAATTCTACAAAATATGAATACTTTTTTTTCCTTTGTGCATTTTCTAAATATTATTTATTATTATTATTATTATTATTTATGATTGATATAGTTATTTAGACAGTATCAAATTTTGAATGCATTAAGTTTTGTGAATTTTTCTTTTCTCTATTCTTTGCTTTATTAATTATATGTAAGTGTATTGCACATTAACTTTCCTCTACCATTTTGTTGATGAAAATTGATCAACAGGCATATTTTTTACCAATATATAATAAAAACACAAAAATTTCATCAAAAATGTTTAAATCAAGTCAGAATCCAACTATTAAAATGAAAAATCCATTTCAACCCCGTACGAGCCTTCAATATAAAACTCTTCGCAGTCAAAGTGTTAATACATAATTTAAGATGTTTTCTTTAAAATGGGGGGAAAAAATCAGTAAAAATTTAAAATCTTTTTTACTACTACTTATACAATGTTAACAGCTGAATAATTAACTGTAACCATTATTGAACGATGTCTTCTGTCATAAGGCGGAGCCAGTGGCAGCTACAGAGGCAGAGGTTCATTCCGAGGGCAATGGGGGGGATATGGAGGTGGTAGAGGAAGATACTTCGCAAGTGGACAAGGAGGCTTTGACAGGGCGAACACAAATGACATGACTGTTAAAAAAGAAAGTTTCTGGAAAAACTATTAGAAATAATATTTTATATCTAACTTCTTTTAAGTGTTTCTAACTTATAAAGCCTTTATTATATTTAGCTGTGGAGTGTATTTATTTTATTTGACTTTTTTTTAATATGTCACTTGTTTTTATGATAATACAATAATTCTGGTTTGTGTAGTTATTGGATATGTGGTCCAATAACACTAACTCAATACACAAACCTGAATATAATCAATGTTGGTCAATAATGGAATAACATAATAAATAAAAGCAATTTTAATAATTTCTTTGTTGTTGCACATGTATAAATGTTTATTTTATTTTTATGTAACTCATCTAGAGACTCAATATAAAACTACTAAATTCATCAAGGTTAAATACCCTCAGCCATTAAAAATTTTCCAATTGTTTAATATATTTTATTGATATATCATGAAAAAGAATAAATAAGAAAATGATTGTTTTATTGTTTGAATTGCAAGGAAAAAGAATCTTCATTTAGAAGTTAAATATTATTGTTTCATTTGAAAAAGTATTGTAAAAGTAGACTTAATGTAGACTGTCAATAAAGCTTGTAACATATAATAAAAATAAAATAGCCAAAGCAATTACATTTTTGTTAATAAAAGTTAAAATTTGGACTGTTGTTTTTTTCTATATCTGTACTTAGTGTAGTGAAAAAATCAAATCAGGTCAAAACTTTCACTAGTAAAAAGAAGTAAATCCTGTCATACAAAAGACTATAAGTGGAGTAAACAACTTAACAATAATTATTTATAACCATTCTCAATTAGAAAGCCATGGGTTGTGCAAGGATTCGAACCCAGGACAACTAGTGCGGCAAATACAAGTTAGATGCCTTAATCACTTGGTCACTGCAATCCCAAAACTTTTAATTATAACTTTTTGGTAGGTAAATAAACAACCCATTTTTGAAATGTGCAAGGTTTGGATTTACAACTACATGAACTATAATTTCTTAAACACCGAACTACTGCTGATTTTTTCGCTACACTTTCATGTTGAAAATATAAACAGGGCTCATATCAATCAGTTTGGACTAGCAGGTCTCTACTGCTTAATAATGAAAGTTTATTTAAATATACGAACACTGGATCAAGGTAAGGTCTTGAAGAAGAAAGCAAATTCAATTGTTATTACTGCCAAGCTTTTTTCCTATTGTATTGACTATTGTATACCTATTGACCCTACATCACCAGGGCAAAAGAACCTTAAATATGTCTACAGATTAAAACTTTTTTAGTTAAAAGTTTTTACAGGTGTCAAATTGCCTTGAAGACCAACTCAGTCCCAACAATGCCAAGAACTACAGTAGCTTGTGTGGTAAAGCTTGGCAGTAATAACTGAATTTGCTTTCTGGTAGTATGGTGTGGTTTATTTAAATAAATATTTATACAAAAATGCTAGTTAAAGAGGTTTTCAACTCAAATTAAAATAAAATTTATATTTATGGTATTACAGAGTTTATTAGAAGATAAACCCTTCCAATTAAAAAATTGTTCTACATATTACTTTGCTCTATCACTTTTTTTCTAAAATATGTTATTACCTATATTCTAATATGGGTTGTTTATTTACCTAGAAACTGGACAATTTTACTTTTTTCATAAAACCATTAAGTGTGAAGTATTTGTTAAAACTTTTTGATTTAAGAATTGTACCTCCAGTCTAGAAGACAATTTTATGCTACAAGTATATGGATTCATTACATAAACGACATTCTTGAGAATTAGAAAAACCCAACAATATTAATACCATAAATTACATAAGAATTTTATAGACACAAATATGAATAATAACTAAACTAAATACTAAGGTCTTACCTAGGTAAATACTAAACCGTGCATTAAAGAAAATATTTATCTGTCTCCCTTGGTAATATAAAAAAAATTAAGATCGTATGCAATTTATGACTTAATTTTTGGTTTGGTGGTAACTGTAAAATATGTAATGACAAACGAAGAACTAACTTTAAAGGGAAACTGCAGTGACCAAGTGGTTAGGGTGTCTGCCTCGCATTTCCTACACTAACGGTTCAAATACCAGCAAAACCCCATGGCTTTTTAATGGTTAATAGTATGAAAAATGTACCATAAAGTGATGCCGCGAGCTCCACAAAGCTCTTTGATGGGCATCTGTTCAGCCTGGATACACTGCTGAAGTCCTGTTATATCCTGTGCTGACAATAGTGTTATATAGTTCAGAATACAAAAATATCCGTAATTCTAAAAATTACTATTAGACTTTTCTTATAAACTTTTATACAGCTGTTAGTTTTTTATGCCTCGTACCAGCCGGGATAAGCAAAGTTCCCTGGGAGTGTTTGCCCCAAATACCTGGAGAGTTTGGACTTTTTGTTACAAATGATTATTATCAACAATCCCAGAAAGGGATTTGTAGCAGCAAAAATTTTTGCAAATAGGTTTATCGCTTGGGTGACTCCCAGTCTATGTTTGCCTTCCTGTCCATGCCTTTGATTGCCTAACTAATGAACTTTGACAAAAAAAATATAAAGATTTTAAAAACTAAATTTGAATAAAATTTAAACGTCTGCTAGGGGCGTCAGTGGTCACAACGGTTTAGGCGTCATAGCGCTCATTACTGCAAGGTAAAGGTCCTGGGTTCGAATCCAGCAACCCTGCATTCGAACACGACATTCCTACAAATGGGCTTTTTTTCAAAAACATTGGCACCCTGAGGGTTCATATAACCTTGTAGTTGAAATACCCTTGTTAAAAAAGAAAAAAAATTCTACTTGAAACAAACGTTTCGTCTATTATCTGTTCCTCTGCAATATTCTAGTCAGAAATGCATAAATTTTCTCCTCTCGAGATTCTAACAATATTTTCATTTTCTTTGTCTAATTCTAAACATCCTCTTTTGTAAGGAGACTTCTTTCCATTTATTTTAGTTTTTCTTCATGATTTATCCTTTACAATGTTACAGCATGATCTTTGAAGTAAGCCTTTTTTCGCTTTATGAATTGTTTATATTTATTCCGGCCCATTACATGAATTTTAAAAATATTATTTTGATGTTGGTACATTGAAAAAACCAAGATAAAGTTTAGACAGCCCTATCTAAACTACCAGCAGCTACTTTACATCTATCTCATTATTAAATGAGTTCAAAGGATTTCAATTAAGAAATGTAACTATTTATTGGGTTGTCCGGAAAATAATGCAGGATTTTAAGTTTTCATTAAAAAAAATCTATATAAAATATTCTGTTTACGTTTACAGGATTACTCATTNGAAATTATTTTGATTAAAGAACATTGCTTTAAAGTAACTAGTTTCTTTTTTTTTGTTTAATACCAAAATCCTGCATTATTTTCCGGACAACCCAATATTATTATTTCTGATTATCATAGGCATTTTGAAACTCCACAAATTGGTAAGATAAGCGGAAATAATTTCAACATTACAAGGTTTTTTGACAATTCCACATGCACACAAATAAAATTATATCTCCAATTAATAACTTCTTAGTTTTTAATGATGAACATCTTTATCACATTTAAAAAATGATCAAATGAGAATAACTAGTTATGCATCATCGGATTAAATGGTTTACATAAGTAAATAGTTTGCATTGTTGGAACGAAGGTATGTTTTCTCTATAATACATTTTTTTTTCCAATGTGAAACGCAATTGTATAGCACACACAAGAATTACTTTATTTATTTTTTTAATTTGACAAAACTCGTCCTGCACATTGTCAAAAAAGGAAGCTTGTTAAATGCACATTTCCGTCACCCAATACTGAAATACTTACATTACTGCATGCCATGCTTTTGACCTACTTTAGCTTCATCATCAGGGCAAAACAATCTTAAAAGTATGTACAAATTGACATAATTAAATTTTTTTTATTTTCAAATTTCTTCTAATTTTATGTTTTATTTTATTATTTTTACAATCAAATAATGGTATATAAATTATGCTAATAATTATTATGTTATTATTTTTATATTAATCCATTCATGTTTATTAGTCATAATTGACTGTATTAATTATTTTAATTAATTATTCTTTTTATCTAAGGTGATGGTTGAGATGAAAAACTTAGTGTCTGCTTGTAACATTAATTTTTTCATCTCAACCAAGACCTAAGGTGGAGGTAAAATTGGAGTTTACAAAGGATTTCTGGAGAATCTGTCCAATTATTAATTAATTTAAAAATAAGGATAATCTCAAAATATTTTGTTCTGCAGCTAAGAACAGAAATATCAAAGTAAGATTTAATGGGAACATGAGAGGATTTATCATTGTGACAGTTTAATTTGAAATATAACGTATGAAGAAATTTATTTTGAACAGTTTGAAGAAGTTTTGTATCAGCGTAGTAGTGCAGATTCAAGATCAGATTCAGATGATTTATGCATATTCAAGAATAGGTCAAACAAGTAAATAAAGATGAGCACAGCGAGAAGGATTTTTGAACTGATAGGTAACATGTCTACAAATTACTTAGACTTGTGTGGTGTTTAGTGACAGTCTGGTGAGACGTAGGTTTTAGAAAAACATTTTTGTTATTGTGCCAACGTTTCGATCTTTATTGAGATCATCTTCAGGGTCTGGGATTTACAAACATTGTTTACATTTTACAAATACGTGTAAGATGTGAAAAAAAATTAATTTATACAATGCAAGAAATTTTAGACTCAGAGTATTATTTGCACTCACTCAAAGTGTTTGTTTTCTGTGTAGATGTGTTATTATTAACACACACCCAATAACGACACATCTACACAGAGAACAAACACTTTGATCCACCAGATTGATGACACCAGACCACATCTCACGATCTCCAAATAATCATTAACTAATGGTCACTAAACACCACACATTAAAGCATAATAATTTTATTTAGTTAAAAAAAGCTAATAATTTACTATCTGTGTAGTTATAATGCTTTATTATATTATTTTTGTACATATATTTTTTTATAATTCCTAGTTGTTATATACAGGGTGTTTAATGAAATCTTTATGTTGTTTATTTAAAAGGATTTTATTGTCTTTTTCATTAACGTATAGTATAGTTTTTTATCCCAATCAATACCTTACATAAATTAAACGCAGAAAACAAACACTTTGAGTGACAAGAAATACTTTGATTGAATATAAAAAATATTTTTTTTTTGCGTTGTATAAATTCACTTCTTTTTACATCCTACATCTATTTGTTAAATTTAAACAATGTTTGTAAATCCCAAGCCCTGAAGATGATCTAAATAAAGATCGAAACGTTTGCACGATAAAGAAAATGTTTTTCTGAAACCTGCATCACACCAGACCGCATCTCACGATTTACAAATAATCATCGACTAAAGGTCACTAATCACCACACACAAACCATACATAAAGATTAATTAATTGAAAGTATAGTATAGTGTTTTATTCTTTATTAATGTTCAGTTAGTTATACGCATTGTGTTGTATATGTTTTTTTCTCCTTACTTTTACATACTTTTTATTTTTTGTTTAAGAAATGGGTTTTTGACATATGTATATATAAGTCAATTAATTAAGGTTTTTAGTTGATATAAAAAAGTCAGTGTAACGAGTGGACTGCGATTTTATCTCAACTAAAAACCTTAATTAATTGAAAGATATTAATTGGTCAAGCGGACCATGAAAACTAGTGAATCTATATATAATATTGAGTTTTTGCCCTGATGATGACCTTAAAATTGGTCGAAAGCTTGGCAGTAACAAATGAATTTGCCCTTTCGTCAAAACCAGATTGAGACCTAATTATTTGTGCGATTTCAATGTGTTTTAACTAATTTTACTTTTGGGGATACCAGATTTCAAGGCAATTTGCAACTAGGCAAGAAGTGTGGCCAGTAAGTTTTTTTTTAAATAGTGTAGTAAGAGAAAAGGGGAGATTTTATTTGAGAATTGAATTGTGATGGATTTATGTACTTTTATGATCGTTTCTTTATATTTTCTTTTGAAGTTTGTAAATAGATGCTGTAGGTAGACTGCCATTCGGTAGGTTGGTGATTGGTCTGTCTATGCTTTCTTCTTCCTTCATCAATCGCATTTCATATTTCATAAACAGGCCGCTAGGGCACTGAAAAAAAGGCAGATACGCCTAAACCAAAGGGGCATAATTTTCCAAAATTTCCAATTCCGAAAGGAAAAGGCCTACGCGGAAAAGGCATGTTCGGCCAAATTTTCCGGTGGAGATTAAAGTTCGAAATGGGAAATGTACGTTTGGAGCGGACCACCTTGGTCGCCTGTCGACTTGAACGAGGGCAACATTGATGTTTATTACATTTCCAACGAGAGTTTGTTGACTGTTCAAAAAAACAAAAAAAAATCAACGTTGGAAACGTTTCCGCGATGATTTTCCAAGCACGTCCCCCCGACACTCAACTCGCGAGCGTTTTCCCGTTTTTTTTCGCTTTTCGATACGATGGCAAGTCTCTGGGTCATGCGTCCCCCTCATTGTTATACAGAGTTAAGGCGACTTGAGATTACAGTGGGCTATTTTCAACTTTAACAATTTACCATTTAAATTTAAAAAAACTTTTTTTGGAGTTTCCTACTCCCAAGACCAGTGAGTATTTTTATTCTCTGCGATTTTTCCATTTTTAAAAGGGGGTAATGTTGGTTTTATGGCGATTCGACAAGTAGTAAACAACTGTTTTCCCTCAAGCTCTCTATAAAATTCTAAATAATTCTCTTTTCTTTATTTATATCAAGACTTAAAAAAATAAGAATATTCATTTTATTCAAACATATCTGTCTTTATTTATTAAATTTAATTTAGGTTAGTTTATGTTTATATTGCACACCATTCGTTTATTAAGCATAACAATTCTAGAAGTTTTAGCGTTTTAATATTTGTTGTGACTTTTTTCATTACAATTTGTTTTGTTTTTTATTCAGTAAAAACAAAACGAAAAATTCACCCATATTAAATACATTACTAGTATTGTGATTTTCACTTGAGGTCTGCGGCTTGATGAGCCTGTGAACTTATTGCTTTATAGTTTCCAATCATCCAGCTCTGCCTTTGTTTTCGTCCTATTTTGTCATTTATTCCAATTTTACATAACAAATATACGACTGAAGTCAATGAAAATCTGAAATGACAGTTCACAGCGGTGAGGATAGGTGGACCAAGATTAATACAGAAGAAAACAAGAATTTCTTTAGCAGTCAGTTAAAATAGCATGTAGAAGGCAAGATCTGCTTACGAAGCTAGTTTGTGGCTGGAAAATGAATTGTTCAAAAATCTTAAAGAATTAGTTGCATCCCCTGTGGTTATCGTGGTGGTTGAGATGCTAGTGCTTCTGATTTTTTATTCTTGTTTCAAATCCTGGAGGAAATACTTGGGTTTTTAGGGATAGGCAAACTGAAATGACTGCAGGAAAAACCTTTCTGATAGAAGTTAAGTTAGAAGGACATCAAGACAAGAGCTGGTGTGGAAGTCAAATTGTTCAAAGATTTTAAAGAACTTTCTGCAGGCCCTTTGTTTGAATCAAGTAAGCTTATGGTTACTGTGGTGGTTGTGATGTTAGTACTTCTGATTTTCAAATCTCGGTTCTAATCCTGGGGGAAAATGACTGGAAAATGATCAGAAACAACCAAGCCAAGTATTTGTATATTACAAAGACAGAATGCTATAGATGAAAATAAATGGTATTTCCTTCTCAATCAATCAAGACAGAATAATATCAAGGCAAAATATACTTATTTTAAAATAGAAAAATGAATTATTCAAGGATTTTAAACAATTTGTGTATGCCGTGTTAGATTCAAGAAAAGGTAATAAACCAGTTAAAAACAAACTGCATTATTTTGCGGAGTTATTCCACTCAATACTGGAGCTTATAAAAAGGCACTTCAAGACCTCGATCTTAAGGAATTACTGGTTAACCTGATGCTGCCACTTATGGCTCTCAGGTTGTCTGATAGATATGAAAGATGCTTTATGCTATCTCTCCAGCATGGCCTGGCCAGATGTGTTGTGAGTTGTCAAACGTGGAACCGAGCCAATGACAACAGACTAGGTAAATGGACCACAAAGGCAGGAAGGAAGGATAGTTGATTGGCCATAGTTGAATTAACAGTAGGATGTCCTGGAAACAACTCAATTGTATAAAAGATTTAAAATAAAAAAGTATATTATGTTCTTTTTAATTTGCTGGATTGCAGTTTTGTTGTATGTCATGTTAGCTGAACTGGTGAAGCTGACACTTCAGACATATTTTAATTGGTTATTGTGGTGGTTGAGACGTTAATGTGTTAGAGCCTTGATTATTGGCTTAATCAAGCATGTTTGATAATAATATAACCATAATTTGATTTATTAGACTTATGTCTTACTTCATTGCATTGAACTTTATCTATTTATTTTAACGCTTCAATTCTGGGTTACCTGGTGTTTTAAAGACATTTCTTTTTAAATGTTCTTTTTCTGGATGCAAGTCATTTTATCCTCTTCATTGGATTTTGGTTAGATTCAATAATGAGATCATTTCCGCCCTGAAAATTATATCAATATGTGCAGCCTGAGGATGGGAACAAACTCCCTTGTGCTCTGGGCCTTGGAATATTATCTAATCATTAACACTCTCCCACTGGCATATTGCTGTTCATTTTTTCTTTACTTGTTACCTTTTTTTAAGTATCAGTGAGTTGGTTCTTGATGGTCAGTTAAGCAGCTTGTCCCTGGTTAATATTCACCAAATTACAGGCCACCCAACTTAGTATATATCAAATTATTCTAACTTCACTATAAGTTCGTAAGTGGATAATTTTAAAATTATTCAGTATTCTTAAAGGTGCAGGCTTAAAGAGATTTTCTGAATAACAAGGGAATAATGTAGGCTATTAAAAATACTCAAAGGTATATAAATACAATATTTTATTTTCAAGATGATAATAAATTTGTAATCAGCAAATTATTTCTGAATCAACAAATTCTACTGGTGTTATAGATGACTAATTCCTGAAGTAGATTGTGTTTTATGCGCACGGGTTTGAACAAGGAGAAAGATTGTTTAATCAGTCCCTTGATTTCATTAATTTCAATGAAACCCTTTTTAATTTTTTTGTATTGTAATAAAAATGTCAATTCATTATCCAGGGTCTTTTTAAATTTCCAGGTGGCTCAAATGTACGGTTGAAAGATGATGAGGCAGGACACAGATTGGACAACACTGAACAAAATGGAAAAGGAATATTTCTGTTTTGTCTGTGGTGCCAAATCAAGTGATCGGGGTTTGCCGCTTCTACTCTCCGAGACGACTTATTCGCATATTTGCCTCGGTCAGAAGCTGCAAGAGATCTTAGGTGACAAGTTGATTGTCCTGATAAAGCCCAGAGACTCGGTCTGTTGGAACTGTGCTGAAGTCATTAACTGGGTGGACAAATACGAAATCCGAATCGACATTGCCAAAGACAACCTTACAAATCAAATTATTAAAAAGTACAAGAAGATTGAAATGTGCCTTAGGAGTGAAAGTTCCGATTACTTTGAGAAAGGTAAAGAACAATAAAAAATATTTTTAACACCAGCTACATACCTTAAATTTATTTAATATTTAATAAATGTTTCTGTTACAGATTTTCCGGCGCCTTCAAATGATGAGGTAACTTGCTGTATTATTTATCAACTTTTACTTTCAAATTATTGTATAATAAATGAATAAATAGTCTTTCCTCTGATCCTAATATTAAATCTAGGCAATGGCTTAATTTTCTTAAGTCTAATCCATATCTTCTAAAAACAACTGTACATGATTGGAAAAAAAGTCTATTCTTTCATTGAATATTAAAACATTTTGTGGAAATTACAGCAATGAAAATTCTCTTAGGTTTTTAAAAAGAAATTATATATCTTACTTTACACTTTTAATCTATAATAATTTTGTAAATGTTATGGTTAGGTATGGTGATGAAACTGCAGCATGTCTGTCCCAAATCATCCAAAAGTGCATATTCTCCCTGATTTAGTCTGAAGATATGTTTCAGCACTTTTTTTTTTTTTTTAAATGTGGGTCTTTGGTTATATGAGCCCATTGTTAAAAAAAAAAAAAATTGTAAGTACGTTGGGACCTTTACTTACAGTGATAAGTAAGTGCTGGTCAACACCTAAACCAATACTATTGATGCCCTCATGTTTCATCATTGTACTATTTTCATTAAAGTTTCAGAATGATTATGATCGGGGGCAATCAAGCTACTACATCTATTCTTTTATGATTATTTGCTGAATAGCTTGTGATAATCATTAAGAATTTTAAAAAATTGTCTTTTTTGTTTATAGGTAATGCACGAGAATGAAACAAACAAATCAAAAAATCATCACTTGTCTCAAGTGGATTCTAAAGGATTAAAGAAAAAGACATTTCCTTGTTCAGTGTGTCATAAATTGTATGCTACCGCTGCAGCTGCAGGTGCTCATGCCGCCAAAGTTCACCGTCAAAACTTTACTTGCGAATATTGTGACAAAATATTCTCATCGGAAAAGAAGTACAAAAACCATCTATATTTTCATGATAACGTAACTAACGTCGAAAATTCGAAACTTTTAAGCTGTGTTTCGTGCGGGTTCAAAACTACAAACACAGAAGTTTATTGTAGGCACGTTTGCAACTCGGCAATAATGTCACTTACTTGTATGACGTGCAAAAGAAGATATGTCGATTCTAGTATGTCAAAAGGACAGACATTGAAGTACCAGTGCAAGGATTGTAAAAAGCAAACTGACGAGCCAGAAGAAATCCCAAAGAAAATTGAAAAAGTACAAAGTATAAATGTTCCAGAGAGTTCAGTGATAACGGAAAAAACAGAATTTCACTCTGAAATGGCAGAATTTTTTCATTCAGTTGAATCTAGTGAATCTCCTCAACCACCCGCTGACGATGTCATATTGGAAGAAGAGCCAGTGACAATAATTCAGAATGGAGTTACCAATGAAGAATTGAGTGTGGAAAGCGAAAAACAAACTGAAGAAATAACTGTTATTAATAGGGAATGTGAAATCGAAGAGGAAGAGGAAGAAAAAAATATAATCACTACTTTATTGGAGTCAGATATAACAATACACGAAGACACAGGAGATGATGGTAATTTAACAGACAACATGACAGTGACGGAAGAGACAGAAGTGATGAGTAAGAATTCAGATTTTATCATCAACCAATCTTATTTAAAATGCACCAATTGTGGTGAAGAATTTGAATTGTCTCAATTAGCTAGTCATCAGTGCTTTGTACGGGGAGATGTCGTTGAATTTGCAGAAGTTGAAAGGCAGGTTGAACATCAGTACTATACCGTTCCTTTTTTTAAACCTGACGAAGAAACCAACACCACAATGTATGAGACCCAAAAACCAGCACAACGTAGACGACGGATACCAAAAATACCAGCTCAAGAAAATTCTTACATCAACCTAAATGACAACATGACTAAAATGAATTGTAAAACATGTGGAGCTGAATTCAAAACGATTGGTTTAATGAGGCAGCACTGGGACTTAACGGGTCATTTACGAGAAGTTTCAACGACGACAATAGAATTGAACAAAATTAAAGATAAGACGAGAAAAACTGAAAAGACCTTTAAAGTTGTCAAACAAAATTTTCATATAAGAGCCAACGTTCCTGGACAAAACGATGATGAGATTAGAAAAAACGAAGAGGTCCAAATGAACTGTATTGTCAAGTTCAAAAATGATATGAGTGTAGAAGATTTTATTGGAATGAAAGGAGGGAAAGAATGTGAAACTTGTGGCATACTTTTTGGAAGTGAAGACGTCTTAAAAGAGCACCAACAGAACAATTGCTTGACCTGTGTTACATGTAACGTGACATTCTTAGATAATAAACTTTTAAGAAAACATTATCAATATACAGGTCATGCGAACAGAATTCCTGTAAAGGGTGACGACCAAGTCACTTTAAAAACAGAACATGAATCTTTCAGTTGTCATGTCTGTTTCAAAACTTTCTACTCAAGATTCATATTGGGAAAACATCTGCAGAAGCATTACAAAGGGACTTCAAAAGGTGCTTGTCGTTATTGTCAAATGGAGTTTGAAGATAAATCGCATATTCAACAGCATGTCTTAGAGGTTCACGGTGCCCAATTGTATAAATGCCAACACTGTGATAGGACGTTTTTAAGTGAATCTGTTCGGAATCGCCATCAAATCAAGCACAAAATGTATACTTGCAAAACGTGTAAAATTAAATTTCCTACTCAACGCCTTTTCATGTCTCATTTAGATCAGGCGCATAGAAATTCGTTCTCTTGCGTCATTTGTGGTAAAGTTATACAAGATTTACAAGCACTGAAGAGGCATGAAAAAATGCATTTTTACGGAAAGAATCTTCAATGCGACTTGTGTGGGAAAACATTCAGGAGCAAAGCAATTTTGAAAGCCCATTCGACCGTTCACCAAAATGAACCTCACTTCAAGTGTAAATATTGTGGCCTCGGATTTAAGACTGCTGAAAATCTTGAAGAGCACCAAATCATTCATATCAAGAAGGAGTACACATGTCCTAAATGTTCTGTGATCTGCCCGTCGAGAATATTTTTTTGGGTGCATATGAAATTGCACGACACAGCATATATGTGTAGTGTCTGTGGGCGGACGTTTAGAGACACATCGTTACTTGCAGTTCATAGACGCAAACACTGGCGAGTGCGACCTTACCAATGTCCCCATTGCCCTAGGGTATTTTCAGTTCCGGCCACCCTCAGGCGACATTTGACCGTACATACTAGAGCTTTTCCACACCGGTGTGTCCTGTGTAAAAAGGGTTTCCTGACAAGATACGCATTCCATAAACACCTCGATACCGTCCACTCTGTTAGGCAATCTCAGCCTAGGAGGCAGGAAAAGAAGATACCTTCGCTGCCGTTGAACGCGACTGACGAAGATCTTTTCCAGGCCGCCGATACGTTAATTTCCGATGATACAATCATGTTTAATGATTATACTCAAAAAGATATGAAAATTGAACAAGTATCATCAAATGATCTTACAACAAATGAAGTTGTTGTTGAAACGACAGAATTGTTTGATGTTCTCCCATAAACCAGTTCAAGATCTAAATGTAAATAGTTTCCTCTCAAATTCTGTAAATACTATGAAAAACTTAAACTATTCATGAATAATGAGGTGTATATTTTTGAGTTTTGTAAATCTTGTAGTAATAAGAAATTGTATGTTGCAAAGCACTGTAATATATTAAAAAATGTATACAATTGTGTTTTAATAAGAAAGTTTTCTTCAAAAAACAAAACGACCATTTATTTTTAAACACCTTCCTGTGATTGTACAGAGGACATGAACCATATAATTATGGAATGCCCAGAATACGAGGATATGAGACAGAATCTCATCAGTGGCATCGAATCCTTGGTTGGAGTAGCCAGACATTTTTCATTGGAAACTTTAATTACATCTGGGAGAAGAGACATATACCATCTAATTTATTGTTTCATAAGGGAAAGTTGCATTGAGATGTAATTCAAAGGTAGACATGTAACATGGGGCGCTGGTCTCCTCACGTGCCTCGCTAAGTGGTGGTATCATGTTTAAAAAAAAAATTAAAATTGAAGATTCACAAAAAGAGAAAAAATCGTTGGTTTTGCCACAGCTGGGACGTTGCAGGGACAGAAATATTTGTGGGTGTCGTCNGCTCGACAAGAAAATAAATGTTGTTTCTGTCTTCCTGGCCTCATCCCCAATCTACCTTTAGGAAAGTATATTTAAACTGAGAAGGCTGATCAAACACCAAAGAAAATTTTAATTATTGTTTTAAAAAGAATAATAAAAAATATTTTGATCTACTCCTAGACTCCTATACATGAAAAGACAGCATAAACTTTACTCAGGGTATTTCAAATACGAGGTTAGATAAACCCTTGAAGTACCAAGGAGTGAGAAGGAGATCGGCACAATACGCCGATGAACGATTTTAAGATTTGTCTTCTTGATCTGCCTCTTCCGACCACCACATTGTTCCTTGCCTTCTGCATTTATTTTTGACTGCACTTTTCATTTTTTCTATTCGTGTGTTCATTTTCTAAGACAATTTAATTTTTTTTATTGAATAATTGTAATTTCTTATAACTTTGATATTCATGCGCATGCAAGTTGCAAATAGTTTTCAACAAATTTAACTGAAAACTTCAGTTTAAAAAAATGTAGGTCATACAGTGACTTGTACCTTTACATTTGGCCACCGGCACCCCATTTCTAAATTTAAATTAGTGTTTTTGCTTAAAATAAATATGTAACAATACCTGCTTAGGTTGTATAAGAAGATTTTTAAATGTCAAAATTTGTCCGGCATGCAGAGAAAGATTGCTCAATGTGTCCCATTTATTGTAGATTAAATAATTAACTATTTTTATGTAAAGTGAGATTGAGATGAAAAATTTGTGTCATGAGCAGGGCTCCAACCTATGACATCTGTATATCTGAGTTCTACCACTTGAGCTACCACGATTTCAGTCCCCATGACAGCAATTCATCATCTCGACCTTCAAACACAATTACCTCTTTTTTTGCCAATATTCATCTCAATCTCCTTTACATAAAAATAATTAATTACAAATTAAAATATACTTTTGTTATGACTAACAAAAACAGTTATCACTGTTGGTCTACTATGCATCTCTATTGATCTAGAGCTCCCCATTAAGCTTAAGACATTTTGATCAGATCCCATACCTTTTTGAAGGACCCCTGTATGTATACTTCAGACCTGGTTCTCCCAGAAGTAGGAATCAGTTAACATAAGACTTCGCACTAACAAAGGATATGTTCTGCGTCACTTCTTTTTCCTGGCAATATCTGTACAGGCTTGTTTCTGCCACTCTGAGTCTCATCTATACAGGCCTTTGAGGTCTGCAGTGTTCAGTTAGCAGTCCAACGATTATTCTAGTCCTAATACATCCTAGATTTAGTTCTACTGTTAGTTTTTATGATAGTCTGACAAACTTTTTCGCATGTCTAATCCTGGGCAACATTACCCTTGAAGTTTTAATCCTAGCCTGATGTAACCACGTTTTAGGCAGTTTGGTATTTCACAAAAAGGAATAGGTATTTTCATCCTGGATTCTGGAGTATAGTCGACAGTGGAATATGAAATACTCAATGACTCAAGTAAGTATAATATTTGTATAGATCATATCTGTTAATAGTGATCAAAGAATATTTAGTACTCTGGCACCTTAATTGAGAGAAAGGAAGAAAACAAGAAAGAATAACTTTTAACCTTTAGTCTAATAATTACTATTCATAGTATTGCAATTTTTCAATTCTATTCTACCAGTATATTTAATTAAAACTAATTATTCTTTTTTATTATGTTTACTGCATTGATGAATCACATTTTAATAAATAATTGAAGAGAGGAAACGCTTATCAACCACTAAGAAAGGGTAAAGGAGTTGTGTCGAGTTTAATATAGAAAAATTTTGGAGAAAAAAAATTATCGTGTAGTCTTATTTTTTTGTGAAAAAAATTCAAAATATTTATTTTATTACAGATTATGATGCAAAGTCAAATTGATATCCTAGTTAAAATCAACCACTTGATAAATCCACTCAAATATTAAAATTATGATCGATCAATAGTGCTGTACAATATACAAAAGATTAGCTACTAAAACTCAAAGATCTTTCACGACCTCCCCGAAAAAAGAATATATTTTGATTTTTACTGATTGTAGTATAAAGTCTGAATGAAGTCAAGGTAAAGTCAACGATTTAACTCAAAACTTTCAATATGTGGTTAAGTGTTGTACAATATCCCATGGGTGGTTATATATTAAGTAATGAATATCAGGAAAGTAAAGGAATACTAAAACATGCTATAAATAATACCAAATTTAAAAAAGAAACTGGCATTGGTTTAGTCAAGCTTTAGTTCAGAGGTAATTTTGGACATCACACTTCTGAAAAACCTTAATAGACCCATTGACGACCAAGAGGGTGATAATTGCACCTTGTCATGAGTAGTCATAGTCTCGGCTCTGCACACGTGTTCACGAGTGGATATATGGGCAGAATTGATGAGCATACATAAATCAATCAGTACGAAATCGTTATATTTAATCTAGGCTCTGGGGGCAGAACGAAGCTAGTTAAAAAAAAAATCTGTAATCTTTATGTACACAATTTACATAAAATTATCAACTATAAACTTTACAATTACAACCAGTCCATTAATAAGATATCTCTTATAAAATTTGGGTATTTAACTTCTTGTAAACACTGGATAACACTCGAGGTCAAGGACAATAATCTTTATTTTTCTTATGTCCATCTTTGGTAACAATTACATGAGCAATCGGCAGGTGCTTCATGAAATTTAACCAAATAGTTTATACATTCAGACAGTTATCTTATGGAATAAACAAATTTCAATCAAAAGAAAGTAAAACTTGGAGACAATTGTCAGAAGTAAATTCACAATTCATAAGATTGTTCTAAAGTTTCAATAAAATGTTGATTTTATGTTGGAAACAATTTCTTTGATGTCAGGTCTTAAATGCTTAGCAAATTCAAGCACATCGTCTGACGTAGCAACGAGCCTGTCGATGTCTGGATCTTTCAAGTCCTTCACTTCTTGCAAACACTGCGATACTTTCTTATTCGGTTCAATTTCGCCAATGAAGCGTTGCCAGCTCTGCAACGATTCCAGAGCATCGTCGAGTCGAGGCAGAAAATTATTGAGCCATACCAGATCACCCAGTTGGTTCACCTTCAGTTCTCCAGAGTCTAGCAATTCATGGGGCAGGTTGGCACGTGTGAGCATTTTCTCATTCACCGGGATGTTGGAGAGTCCTCTTTCCACGAAAAACATCTCCGGGTCACCTGTGTATGGATAGAGACATCCGTTGGTCTCGCAGAAAAATACAGCAGTGTCAGAAGACGCCTGGTAGATTTTGACTTCCGCAGATCGGCCCTCCTTTCTGCACTCCGGGCATTCCCATTTTGTTGATAACTTCGAGAAAAAGTCATCTAATAAACCGTCCATCGTAAAGGAATAAAAAACCTATAGAACAACCATCCCTAATACACTAAAAACAACATAAATACCCCACTATCTCATAACACAAGAAACATTGAATAACATAAATCAAATGTGAAGCAGATTAACATGTCTGTTTCGTCCTTCCTCCCAAGTCCTAACAAGTAACAACTAACCAGTAACAAGCACGTGTAACCTTGCTTTGATGCTCAAGTCTCAACAACATCAACAAGCAGTTCCACGCTCAGCCACAACTGATGTAGTGTATCAATGTACTCTTTCGGTTATATTAACTTATTTATTTTTATATATTTAATTTAATTTATTGTTATATGAGTAAACGACGTAAATGCCGATAAACACTCAACATATTATGAAAAATACAGTACAATTACAAGTGTTCAAAATTTACAAATAAAATCTTTCTAGATAAATAACAATTTACAATTAATTAGTGACTTAATATGGTAACGAAATTTTACAATAATATTCTAATTAAAATATACAAAATGAACGAAAAAAAATAGTATACTTTTCGATTGAAGATGACTGTCAAGATGAAATTTGTAGATTTAAAGATGGTTCCAATTGAACTGAGGTTGAAGCGCAATGCAGGAACTCAGGAGAAGAGCATTTGCAGACCAACTAATCGAAAAAAACAAAAAAACAAAGCAAGTGATGTCAGTGGGAAAATTCTGTCCGGGCACATAGGTATAACTGGGGACGAACAAGCAGATAGGGCAGCGAAGTTAGCCACAATGAGACCCCACGACCCCACCCACTCTTTGTCCAGCAGATTTACATAGAAAAAGTGCTAATGCTATAAAAAATGAATGGACCACCAGCTGGAACGTAAGAAACATACCTAAATTATATAAATAAAAAAAAGACATCGGTCCCTATCCTACAGAGGGTGGGTCTAGAATGGAAAAGGTCATACGTACGAGGTTGCAGGTGATGAAGCCATATAGGTGCCTGCTGTGCGGAGAACTTATAATGGTAGAGCATATATTAACAGACTGCTTTGTCTGCAAAGAAAGAAATAAAACGTCCTGAATGATCTAGGTGTGGCCTTGAGGCGTACAACAGGCACAGATCGCTGATCCAATATCAGAGTCATAAATGTTTTTAATTGTATATAGATCTTCGTACATCCTGTATGTTGTAGATCATGTATGTGATATGAGTAATTTACTGGTATGAACATGTTTATTTGTGTGAATGACAGGATTTC